GTCCTGAGCGATGATTTCGCGACGGTCGATCGGTCATGCAAGGCAAACAGATTAGACCGTCACCGGGGCTGGATGTGTACAACAGTGGTATACGGCTATAAAGCATGATAATATTTAATTATTTAACAACCGTGTAAATAATTAAACGTGAGCTAATAACGTTTATCGACCGCAAACGAGCTGCCTTTGAATGATGAACGTGGCGACCGTTTGTGTTTACATTCGTAACGTCTATACCTATGTATAACAGCTGACCAACCCTCGCGGCATGGTCGTCGCTAACAAATAATATATTACAATATAATATAGAAGACATATCGCCAATGACATGCAAACCCTTTGTCGAATCAACTGTCACTAACATTGTGTAGCTATAAGTTATTATATTATACCGATAGTAACTATTATGTTAATGGGTATAAAATAAATAGTCCTTAAATAGTCGATTAAAACAATGGCGGGCTACGCCGAATTTTTTTTTTTACATGAATATACGGGTGGGTGAGCACGCAAACTGTGGACTGTTGTAAAATATATACTATAGCTTAAGCATTAATTTCTAGTTCCTCCCCCCCCCCCCATAAAAAAAATCTGGCTACGGTACTGTCGAAGATAGACAATAATATATGAGTAAGCTAGAATCAAAATTCACATAATGCAAAAATCATATTTTTTTCAGAAAACGCAAAAAACAATTTAAATTCATATCTGACCTGATACTAACCACACATTTCAAGGCTTAATCTAGACCGGGTTTGGTTAAAAAAAAAAAAAAATTAAGCTTCAAAAAAGAAAAAAAATGTATGCTGCTGTTGTGTATGATATTACATAGTTTTGCACACGATACAGCATTTGGGTTTTTTTTTTAAACAAAATAATTAATAAAAAAAAACAATATTTTTGTATACGTTGTGTTACCGCTTTGCATTTACATGTACTTACATAATTAGGAAATTTGTTGTTTTAGAGCCTTTATTTTATTGTGTAACTAGTTTACTAATATATTTAGTTGTTTACACTAAAAAGATAATTCATATTTAACTAAAATCTGTATAAGTATGCTTGAGGTCGGACAAGGATCAATAATAATTGAACTGATTACAGAGTTATTTGTAATCTTTGTAATTAAAAAATGTGATTATTAAGATTACCGTTTACCGTTTTAAGTTAATATTATATTCAAATAAATTGCAAAAAAAAAAGAATAGAAATCTTACACTTATAAAAATATATCGTTATTACATATTAAATTCTTTGGTATTTATTATTTTTATTTACTATTTATACTTTTTAATATGGTCATTTGCTAGATTGCTACTTATACTTATTACTTGCTACTTAGACTTATTTTCAAATATAGTATACTTGAGCCGGTTATAACTTATAATTTAGGTTATATAAGTTAGGTTAAGCAAAATATGATTTATTTTTGCAAAATTTAATTCCTGTATTATATTACAGTTGCTTAGTACGTATATGATCGTCTCTGGTTGGAAATTAATGAGTTGTCGAATTTAGCACAGTAAAATGGTCCCAAAATATGCATTGCAGATTAATCATTAATAATACATGAAGTCTTGCTGTCGTCCTCTCAATATTTGTTCGTAGAATGTATAATGTATATTCATATGCACGTAGTATGTTATGATTAAACGAGTAATTTGAAAGTGACCTTTAATGAACTAATCCGTTATGCACTTATGTTATAAGCTGTTTACTGTGTGACTAGTCACAGTGTATGTGCATGACAACAGATACAGGAAAGTTAACACTTAGTTTGAATAGAACTTTGAAAAAGCTTTACTCCCTTGGCCAAAACGTGCAGCGCATTCATTTATTAGCAGCCAATTTATTCATATAATATTCCTTTATTTTTAATTTCATTTGAATAACATTTATAGTGAACTAATTTCAATATTTTAATTAGAGACGTCAAAGACAAAGTGGAGTTATATTATGTAGGTTAGGTTAGATCACATTCGGAATGAATGCCCGGTTGGGCTAGGTAATCCATTTAAAGCTAGACCCTCATATTCACCTCTCTTTAAAAATATGTCCATTTAAGTTAGTATTATATTATAAAGTATTATTAGTATTAATATTATAAAGTTGTCAAACATTTACCTCTTTTAGTATTTTCCAAAGTGGTATTTACTTTTGAAACTTAAATGCGAAAACTTATATTGTTTAATAAACTATTTACATAATGATGGAATGATTTTTTGAAAATGTTGATGCAAGTATAGGTAATGTCGGGTTTGAAATTTAGTTTAAAAGTAATTATCCAGACCAGTCCGCATTTTCATAAAATTACTCTTAAATTAAAAAGTGAATTAAATGTAAACGTTGCTTAACATTTAAGTTTGAAAAAGTTTCAGAACACTGTAAAGAAATACAAATAGTTAATATTTAGTAAGTTTAAAATATTTTAAAAGAACATAAACAAAAATGGGCACAGATAAAAGTAATACTACAACACACCCATCCTCCCGTTCTAAATTTTAGTAGTATGGTAATTATTTTGTAGCTGGGAAACTGTACAATTTTAATGTGTCAGTTGAGTGCAATTTGAATTTCAAGTACATTTCTATGTACCTATATATTATGTACTCGTATTATAAGTTTTTATTTCAGTAACTAATGAGGGTAATAGTTGCATGTATACCTGTTAGGTAAAAGTTTATATAAAATACATACAAGCAATAAAGTTAAAGTTTACATAGTAAAAAAAAAAATACATATTCTAATGTATAAAAAACAAAGCACACTTTTAATGCGTACAATTAAAGTACAGTGAGGGAGGAGCTTCAGCCTTCATAGCCTCCTTTGTATCCGCCCTTGGTTTCGTTTCATTGTTTTAAAGAGATAATAGCTAGGTACCTCTCGTTGATCGACGTCGAACCTACTTTATCGACCATAAGACGGCTATATTAATTTTTTTATTATAAGTCTATAGGCATTTTTCCGTTTTCGACACTTTAGAGGAGGGTTTCTGTGTTGATAAATAACTTTAACTTCTATCGAATAAATCAGTGGGCTCGCCAGAACTTATCACAACGTGTACGTAGTAAAATGAAAAAAAAAAAGTAATACATTGACTGCCAAATAGTTTTTAACTCGTTTCGAATCGAATTTCGGGTATGGCTTTTAAACAATCCGTGGTTTGTTTTTTTACATCCGTTTTTTAAACGCCATGTGTTCGATCCGCGGCATTCCGTTTTGGTCCGGAGGAGATGGGCGCAATCGTAATCGTTTGTTGTCGCATTCCATGCCAATCTTATATAGCATCGTATATTTCTTATATCTGTTTCGTCCGCATACGTATATTACAACTGGATAGCCGATTGAGCATTACAAGTCGGGAAAACGGCCAACTTTTCTTATCAACGCCATACGTGTTTACAACCGTCTCATTGATAAAAAAACAACAAATTCGGATATCATTCATCATTCTTCAACTACACGCTGTTAAAGGTAAATAATTGTAAACTCGAATATTGTTTTGTCTTAAGCGAGCAGGGGCACTTGGTTTAGACTTTAGGAGCGATATCACCGCCGGGTATGCTATTTGCGGTGAACGTCTGGAAACTAACCATCGCTGTCTTATCCAGACTGCCGGTTAGGTAATCTCGACTTGGCTAAAATGTAAATATTTTATTTCTTATATCAAATGAATCGTTCTAATTTGGACCGAAAAAACATTAAGGAAATTCGAAACAAATAACGCGTTTTCGAGAAAAAGAAGTACAAAATCAATCACTATCCGAACAGCTGTGACAGTATATATTATTCACGGTAATCCTTTATAAAGCTAAATCGTTAAAAAAAAGAAGAAAGGAAATCCGGACGTTTACGCTGTTCGACCACTGTCTCCGTCTATTTGTATTTGATTTCCTCTCGCAGGCTAAACGTTTTGTATAGCACTGGGTTGTGTTTTGTATACACTATTTCCTTCGACCCTGACTCAGGCATTCCGTCAGCGTGATTTTCGATTCTACTTATAACCACGTTTTGCTTGGCGATTTGTTTAGTATAATTTTCGACTTGTATCTCTAAAAATGTTGTACGGACCATAATATAAAAGGGCGAATGTAGAATGTGTAAGACAAAACAAATGACAGCTCTGAGACAGCCGTGTAAATAGTCTCGGACCTGCAATATGTACTTAATATGTCTTAAAGTGAAAGAATTTCTTCCACGATAACTCTGCGATGCGTAAATCACCATGAAATCAATTCCAATCTTACCAAAATTAAATTTAGCAATGATTTAAGGGGGAAAAGTCCAATTCCAGAAGTCAAAAACATAAAAGGAATTTTGTTTTGACTATTTATCGCCAAGCTAAAAAGGTGAAACGAATTTGTCTATTTTGACGGGAAAGGGTGAACCTGTGGTCTTATTAAGTAGGTATCTACCTTTGCTCGATTTTTGTTTTTGGGTTTATAGCTGTGTATACATTTGTGGCACATTATATATATATATATCGGTGTAGCGGTTAGGTAAAAGTTTTCGTGGATTTTATCAACCAGACACAATTAACGTGTACGCAATTAAAGTTTCAAAACTACTTTACATTTAGAAGTTACATAAAAGGCAGTAACATAAAGGCGGTACGCTATGCATCCTAGCAAGGTGTACAAACAAGTTTAGACTGCTAGGGTTTAATTCGTAAAACGAATCCTTACCTACTACAATGCTTACAATTATAATAATTTATAACGGAATAGTGCATTGTCATGTTCTGACAGAAAAATGATAAAAATTAATTAAATTCGAAACGCTATTTCGACCAAAAGTTAGACACTTGGTCTTAAGATGTCGGGTTGCTTGCACATTTACGTCAACGGCTCTTCAGGCATTACCAACCCGTTTGTAATTGTTTACCACCACCAGCTGTTACTTACTATGTAAATCAAAACCAACGGGGTCACGGACCTCACGAAAACATACCATTTGTGATTCTCATTGGCACTGTCGTTTGTTTGCACTGTATAATATAGGTGAGACGCGTTCCGGACTCATCAGTGGTGACAATCGGTGATGAACCGACCGCCTAGGTTGACGCGGTGGTGATGGTGGTGACAATATAATGCAAACTAGCGCACCAGTACCAAACCTCGGCCAACAATCGAACAACTCACCAGCGTCAACAGCGGCCACGGGCACAGCGACCACCAACAAGATCCTGATAAATGGTGGCCGGTTCGACTTTGATGATGGCGGTACATACTGCGGTGGATGGGAGGACGGCAAGGCGCACGGCCACGGAGTGTGCACCGGGCCCAAAGGCCAAGGAGCGTACTCCGGGTCGTGGCACTATGGTTTCGAGGTTTCTGGCGTGTATACGTGGCCCAGGTTTGTACATATATATATATATAGAGTTAGACTGTTTTTCCTACGACTTACCTTTTTAAGAGGACGCCACTCAGCCCATTTCTAAGGAGTATAGTATAGGTCATTTTTCACAAAATTTTAATTTAGGGCTTGATATTTTATTGATTGTGATTTTTTTTCAGACTATCAAAATCATTTCTGTAGGATAAATTACAATTTTTTCCCCATCAAGATCTAAGTACTTCCTCGTGTTTGTTTTGCATTTAATAACATGGGGAATTTTAATTTTTCATGGTTTTGAAGTGTAGTAATTCAGTTTTAAGATTTTTTTTAAAATAAATTTACAAGTAAGAATTTTTAAAAACAAAAAAAAAATGAACGAGGAAGTACTTAGAGTTAAGTTAGGGATCTGAAAAATTAGGGATTTCTTATTTGACTACTATCGAATAGGAGGGAGGGTAGGATAAAAATTGTCATCAAAAAAATATCTTCCAACAGGATTCATGTTAAATGTAAGTTATGTACGAATTCATATTGTTCTTTATTTTTCCACCTGTGCGACATGTCAGAAACGTTTGATTATCCATATTTTTTTTTCTTTCTTAATTGGCAGTAAACATTATTATTTATTTTAATTTTTGCATAATTAAACGGTGTTTAGGATCTAGTGCGTTGCCAACTAGGGTCGGCCATTTCACATTAAAACTAATTAATCGCATTTTAAACACTGTGCTCGTCTATTAAGCTAAAAGTTCAACAGTACCCTGGGCCATGACCCAAAAATCTACTTTGCTGGGAAACTAAAAAGTGTTGTTTGCCCAAAATCAAGACGTGTTCCAATTTCTATATTTTTTTAAAAATTAAGGTAATTTAAAATCGTTTTAATTATATTTACAATTTTAGGTTATATGCGATTACTTGCAAAAATTCAATAATATTTTAGTTGTCTCCATTAGTCATTCTTAACATAAGATTTTCATTAAGTTTATCCCAGTCATTTTCAGTTTCTTTGAATTATTTATTGGTGGCGCTCTACATTAATTTTTGCTCTATGCTATTTCATTTTGACAGGTATGTTGTATGTATCTGATATTAGCTATCAAATATCTAAATTACCTTCGAAATGACAAGCCGATTTAAGAATTTCAGTTTCTCGTAACTAAACAAATTAAATTTGCAATTTTTTCAATATTAAAACCCAATTATTCTACATTAAAAAAGCAAAATATCTGTTTCCCACGTAACCTATATAGTAAAGTTGTTAGAGTACTGGTATAACTTTACAGAATATCGAAGTCGGGCTATTCCGAGTAGTAGACTTTTTCCATGGCTTTAAACAAATTTAAATTCCAAGCCAATTTTAGTGGCGTTTAGGGGCACCAAACTTGAACTGATGCATATCGTCCTAACCGGACCGGAACTAACTAACATGGTTGCACGGTACGATTGGTGCACGATGTAGTGAACGTGGATAGGAAATCTAAATCTAAAAAATAGCAGATTTAAATGCGGTTTTTTTTTTTTCTTTTTGTATATATTCACACTGTATACTAATCGGTCGTCGATGTTGTCGCCTATAGTGGAAACACGTACGAGGGCCAATGGCAAAACGGAAAAAGACACGGGCTAGGCGTGGAGTCACGGGGCCGTTGGTTGTACAGAGGAGAATGGACGCAGGGGTTCAAAGGTCGGTATGGTGTAAGACAGTCGGCGACGACAAATGCCAAGTACGAAGGCACATGGGCAAACGGACTGCAAGACGGCTACGGCTCGGAGACGTACGCCGACGGAGGTATGTACATCTGGTTTTTTAACATTTTTTTTTTTTTATTATTATACACACTTTCAGCGTGCAAAAAAAAAAACCATTTTGTGACCTATGAATGAAATTAAAACGTCGTCGCCCTTGGAACCGGCGACGATGCCAAGTTTAGACGAGCCAAACGTCCGGCAAGACGTTTTTTCTCTGCGTAAAGCACATACATAATATAATATACACAATATATATATATATATATAATAAACCCAGTAGTATATATTTGTTTTCAATTTAGATTCGATACGGTAACATCAGCAAGACTCGGGGCTCGTCATTTGGGTTCGTTCAATTATTCATACCGTTTTATTTCCTAAGCGGCGGCTAAACTACCGTTGTCGGGGTCGGGTTAATACGGGCATAAGTACTTTTTAAAAATGCACGTGCAACCTAATTAACAATGTAAAAGTAGAACAATCGATGGAAAATGGCGAAGGTGAATTTTCTCGTGTAGGTTTAAAAGGATACGAATGACGTTATATTTTATCGAAAACCAAATAATAGTTTTAATAGAACAGCAGCACCACTCGTTAAGACTCAACGGTCACGAAGGCTTTTTATCATTAGCGTTTTGGTTTTAAATAAAGCTGATACGCTTAGAACCGAATATTTTGGCCGGGCAAAACGAGTTGTTGCCAAATGGGCTCAGACTACAACAATATAAGCGCGGTTTGTGTTCAGAATGTGTGTGTGTGTGTACACAACATACAGTTTAAAAAAACTCATAGGACTGTTTTAATTTAGGTAAAAAAAAAAAAAAAAGTTAATGGAAAATGATTCGTTGGCAATATTTTTAAAGAATCCGACCTTGTTTAGTGTCCATCTTTTGAATTTCTATACATTTAAACATAAATAGTGTATTGACAATGCTCAAAATATCCCACAAAAGTTCTACAAATAACGCAAAACAACTTACGTACAAGATATAAAAAAAATATAAACAAAATACTTGTTTTGCATAAAAATGAAAGTAAAAAATCAAAATAAATTATTTTCGTGTTAACTAGATGCCAACGTACCGCATCTTATTTTCCTTACTGCAACACAATAAGAATTTCTCAGAATTTAAATAAACTCCAGTACGATCATCTGCAATTTGTCAGAAACTTTAACCAATAAGGGCAAGATTTCAGATTTTGTTGAAGATTTACTTAACACTGTCTCTCGGTAATGAATTAAGATACATTAAGTAACATTCATTATCATTTATATTCTTAATATACGTATTATCATTTTTCTGATTTCAGTTATTATTATTATCTTAAATTTCCGTTTATTATTTATATAATATAATTGTATTTTATCTATATAATTATTTAAATTGTAAAATATTGTTACAATTATTTATGTGAACACACTGCGAGTGGGTTGTGCCACAACGCACCCCGTATAACAAACAACTTCTATTTTAAAAACAGTTGTTTCTGTCAAAATTTATTTAGTATTTTATAGACTAATAATTGATTTGAATAATGCTATTAGAATGCTATCGAGTAAAACATCATCATTTGTATTATTCGTTAGTTAATTTAATTTTGCCCAACTCCGAGTGTAGTTTAGTGTACAAATATTGTAACATTGTTAAATTGTGCCATATTTTTGAGGCGAAAACGGCTAGCAGTCTAGCTTCTAGATTACACTTTTCACATAACGATCATGGTTGAAATATACAGGTTTTTGCACATCGTCTCGAATTGTTATCTTCAAAAACAAAATGGCAGCGTAAGGAGATATCAATTTTATTACATATCCTTTACATTTTACTGTGTGTACATGATTTTGGCTCCCTTTACTCTGACACATTTGTTTTTGTCGTCGAATATTTGACGAAGGCGGGCAATATCCTTGTGTATTTCAATCGTGATAACGACCATGGCTTTTAGGTAATGCCGACATACCGTTACTAGATGCTTTAGAATCGCGTTTGAACCGGAGGAATGCTTACAATCCTATCTATTTTTTGCACACAGGAACGTTTCAAGGTCAATGGATGCGCGGCATGCGACACGGATACGGTGTACGGACGAGCGCACCGTTTGGTATGGCATCCCATTGCAAGCCAAACAAATCCGATATCAGGAATTCATTGTCGTCGTTAGGTAGCGAGGACCCGCACAAAGTCGGCAGCCTGTCGGAAGAATCATGTCTGGGCAGCGAGGGCCGGGACAAGAAGCTGGACGACACCAGGGGAGGGTTCGTGTTGAAGGCCAACAGCGACGAGCAGCCCAGCAGGAGGAAAACCCTCGTGTCCAAGTCCACGCACGGCTTGAAGAGGACTCTGATGTCCGTAAGTACAACGACAAGTCAGCACAACGTCTCCAAGGGAATTGCCTGGGCTCGATGGGAGTCCCTGGACGTTCCATTGACTCCAAGGGAATCCCTAGAGAGAACTCCAGTGCTGTCCACCCAGACAAATTAAAGGTTCTATTCGATGCGGGTCGGTTAAAATGGAAATTCTGCAGCATAGGTGGTTAATTTAGTGGTGTAAGTCATAATAATTTAGCAGAGAAATAATTGAGAAAGACGTGGAAAATTGACGGCTTAGGAGATAATATAAGAGATTGTGCGTTTGGACGGGGCCGACTTCATTAACGCGGCCGCAGGAAAGGTGAGTAGGTAAATAAATGCAAATTAAAATAAAGTGCCCTTAAGCTCTGACGTTTTTTAAGCAGCGAACGCAACGTTTTCTTATAAATACTCTCAATATAGTTGGTGTTCTGAATAAATATATTATACCATTATGGACAGAACAGATAAAAGCCCTCGTTGTGTATACTAAATAAACACAAACCTCATTGTAAATACTTTTAATCAAAACGTATAGATTAAAATACCATTTCTTCATCGAGTCCTGGTCACAGCTTCTTTACTAAATTCTTCTTATCTTTAAATGATTATCATATTTAAGTAGACGATAAAAGTTTTCGAAGGAGTCTAAACAAATAATTTACTCTTAAGTGCGCTTTCAAAAGACAAACTAAAAGACGTCGCATTTAATTTTATATACTTGCAAAAATTTCATTTTTATAAATACAATATTTTAACGACGATACGTGTTTTGGTAGTAAATAAATAAAAACGAAAAAAATATTTTTAAAAGACCTATTCTTGTTTTCTATTTTAGTTAGTGAAGTTGCAATCCAATTATAATTGGAATAGATAGGTTTGAATAAAAAAGCCTTCTGTAATGGTTGTGTTCATTCACTCAAAATTGTTGAAAACTTTAAAAGAAGAATCAGAGTGTTTTAGAACATTTAGGCGCACGTTCAAGTATTTCTTTTTTTTTTCCATTTCATTTCATCGATGACTCATCGTGACCACACTGCCTAGTTATTTATTTTGGCAATAGTTATGGGTTTTTACATTAATCCGTGACTAGATCGAACATGTTTTTTGGCTCCGCGACTGTATTGCGGGTCTAGTGACCGCTGTTAAGTGTATAACTATTAACTTGGTATACATAAAAAAAATTTTATGTGTATACATCTTGTTTTCATTGATAATAAACTTCGTAACTACTGTGCTGGGTCAGCGCTGTGTGTTTTGATCATCGGGATTCCGTTAATAAGGGTCAAGGGCGGGGAACCAACTAAATCATATCTACACGTCTACGTTAACCGATCGAGATCGAATGGTTTTAGGGTTTCAAAATGAGAAAGCAGAGGAGCACCGGAGAGCTGGAAAAGAAAGTGGCTGGCAGCATCAGAAGCACAGCCTCTTGCACGTCGTGGATCAGCACCGGTTCGTCACAGTCGGCCATGGGCGAATCCTACAACACCGATTCCAACGCCAGTTTCATCGTTGAGGTTTGTTATCCCTTGTCAATATAGATATACTAAATATATATTGAACGCTGAATCTAGGGTTTCCCTCAAGCAGGGGACGAAAAATGCTAACACAACTACAGTTTTTACAAATTTAATATAAAGATTTTGAGAATTCCTAAGAAAATGTAAAGATTTGTGCTATTTTATTTTCAAACTACCCAACCTTACTCTGGAATATCATTTTGCTAACTCTGGAACTATTGCTTCCAAAATACACTGATAGCCAAAAAAATCGGGCGAGTGTACACTGTTCAAAATGAAGAAAAACACATTTTTGTGAAAACCAATTATTTTTCAATGAAAGATATCAGTAATAATATAACTATTGAACTGTTGTCTTTTTGAGTAATCCGATATATAGGGAAGGCGTCTTCCCCTCCTTTTTTACGGTAATCGTGATGCCTTTTATGTCATCAGTTGGATAGTCACTGGTTTAGAATTAGAAATGGTAAAAAGAGAAGCTAATTTGAGTACAAGGCTAGTTAAAAAAATGCTTTCTGGTAGATCAATAATTATTTTAATACTCTTTTGTGAATAGTTATGAAATACCTACTAATGCAATTATAATGTGTTAATATTTTTTTTTAACGAAACATTATTAAAACTGATTTATTTTTACTCATAACTATTAGTATTTATGACAGTCAATAGACTTATATAATCAAATTAAATTTATGAAGGGCTAAGGGGCTTTAGGCCCTTGATTCCATTCATTTTAGCTGGACGTTTTAATAGTATTCTATTGTACTTACTGAAAGTCGATACATTCGTTTTTAGGGTTGTGTTTAGGGTCTGTAAATTTGTACTATTGTACTTCCAAAAATACAGATCTCGTCGCTTCTAGAGCAGGTGCTTGTTTTGTATACTGTCAGATAGTGTAGGCTATTGACAGATAGTGCATGCAATAATTGGTTGATGTATGTATTTGGTATATATCTGTCTGTTGGGCACAGGACGAGCACATGGACGTCAACACCACCGAAACGTACATTGGCGAATGGAAAAACGACAAACGATCGGGTTTCGGCGTGGCAGAACGAACGGACGGGCTTAAGTACGAGGGCGAATGGTTTGGCAACAAAAAATACGGTTACGGAGTGACCACGTTCAAAGATGGCACCAAAGAGGAAGGCAAATACAAGAACAACGTGTTGGTGACTTCGCAGAAGAAAAAACACTTGTTCCTCATCAGGTCGGCCAAGTTCAAGGAGCGGATCGAGGCGGCTGTAAATGCATCCCACAGAGCCTCCAAGATTGCCCTGCAAAAGGCCGACATAGCTATTTCCCGGTGAGTTTATTATAATTATTTGGCAAACTTATGCAGTGTGATTCCAAAAAAAGGCTAAAGCCCATAGCAAGGCAAACGAGTCCTCGCGTGGTTCCCGTGAACTGTAAGGAAGTGTGTGTACAATTTGGGGAGTAGGGTTCGATTTTCTCACAATTAGAAGGAGAGAAATAAGCAGACGGTCGATTGTGCTCTTTTAAAGCAGTCCTGGATCAGGAAACCAGCAGAGTGATCAATGGACATTAACGTAGAGTTTGTCATTCCCGCATGAGAATCAATAACACTATAATTACCGGCGCGATAAAAACTTCAGTAGTTAATAAAGAATAAGCTTATTAGAATTTAAGTACATAAGTCTATGTACCTACCATACAATTTCACTATTTAACTCAAATTTAAGGTGTAAAATTTGCCTGTTTCGGTATGGAACGTGTTGGATATATTTTGGCAATCAAAGCACTGGGTATTACTTTGTTTATATGGGTAATGCTTGCTATCGAACTAACTTGAAGTCATATGTTCTGGTTAATCCACAAAAGGTTTTATTATTTTTGCCAATATATTTTTCCAATATTCACGACACTGATAATTTAATTTCACATAGTTAATCGGGGGCATACATCATTTTACCGGGAACTATGAAGGTTATTGAGAATATTAGCATTCAGTCCAACCCAATTATAGGTATATTATACTTAATCAATACCAGTAAAGTGCATTTTAACAGTTTTAATTTGTTTTTCAACGAATGCCATTAGCATGATCGCGCAAACCCGTTAAATGGCTGTATTTATTTTTTTTTTAATTCCCTCCGGCCACATTAGTTTATTAATTCAGGTTTTTTTTATTATTATTCTCTACCTAATTGTTAACGTCGCCCGTCGCAGTTTGGACAAGGTGGATTGTTCGGAGAGTATATTAAATATAACGGCCGGTCACTGTGAACGATGCTCAAGGGAACACTTTGGCCTTAACGCGATAGGTCGTGTAAATTATTGTTGTCTTTTAACTGTAGCAATAAAAAAAAACAGGTAAAGATCCCGGATTAGACACAAGTTACGCAAAAGTTTCGCGTCGCCTATTTTACAGCCCTAAGTCTCTATTAAATGAGTAGAGTATGACCATAAAACAACTACCCCAAAAGTTCTAGCCGGCATCAATGTAATAAACCGTTTTTGAGCAGTTTAATAATTTTAACTAGTGTTTATACAACACGCATATTAATCACACAAAGACGGTAAACAATTAAAATGGACATAGTTGAAAAAAAAAGTGTACTTCAGTGCCAGTCAGGTTAAACTGTGGTGATTAACTCATAATAGTCACTTTTTGAAAATGATACTTGTGGCTCGTAAAAGGATAAATGCGTCTAGAATGTATCAAAATCGAATATATATATATATATTTATTTATTTATATACAGGGTGATTTTTTTAAAATGATCCTCTCAATATCTTATAGGGTTCAATCAGTTATTGAATTTTTTTTTCGTATTTTAGCTTTGTGGGCTGGTTTATTCTTGTTTGTTTATTTAGTTTTTTTTTTTTTTTGAGAATACTTGTTATGGACCCACTAATTTGGATTTTTTATTTTTCAGAATGGCTACCGCTCGAGGCAAGGCCGAACAGTCCGATATCGCTGCGGATCACGCCAGAGAAGATTATGAAATCGCAAAGTTGACAGCTAAACAGTTTGCTCCTGATTTCATACAACCGGGTTAGCCAGCACAACAGTATTTTTTTAAGAAACGTCCCGCAATAAATATCTATCATTTTCTTCCCAGCAACTCCAAAAGTCCTCTCGGCTAATTGAAAATTCAAGAAACTTTTTTTGCAACCGTTACCGGCAAAATTATCACACAAACGTTTTTTTGTATAACACAAACTATTGTTTTTTCCCTAATCTTTTGCTTACCATAAAGACTAACTTTCACCCCTCTGATTAATTGTGATTTTTTTAAATAATATTTTTCAACGCTAAAAACGATGTGATTATGTCAGATTAAAGTCGGTGGGAAATGCTTGTAAATTATGTTTTTTTAAATTCAGAATTAATATATTAAATGGTTTTTTTTCTTAACATTTCCAACGATTTTTTACAGAAAGTGCACATAATTTGTAATTTACAATTTTTAAATGAAAACTTACGTTTCTTTTATATTTTTTGTAAGATTTATTTTTCTTATGCTTATTTATTTGGTACATATTAATAAATTATTATAAAGAGGGTGATATAACTCCATATAACTAGCAACCAATTTCACAATCAATAATTATGTCAGTCTATTGTATGCGCTATAGAGGCGGTTATTTGTGTAGTTAATATGGTTTTTATGTCAACTACTTTTTTTTAAATTTTGTTATGTTGTACCATTTTCTATAGCAAGAAGTACTAACACTATAATATAAATGAATGCAAACTTTGATGTACACAAATATAACTATCTTTCAGGAAGTAAAGTTTACTTTTACGTACATTTTCTGTACAATTAATGTAATTTCAATAAAATATTACTGAAAACGTCTCTTTGATAAATACATATGTAAAGTATACTAGCGACCTAACAATTTTTTTCACAAAAACACTATTAAAAAAAAAAAATACAGGAATTGATTTCACTTTTTTTATTATTTAATTTAAATCTTAACTATACCTTTTCAACCTGGAATTGAACTAAATATTTACCCTTACCCCGAGTTATTATATTTTCTGATTACAAAAATAACTCCAAATTGAATGTTCACTAATAGTTTTTCTTTCTTCCTCAGGGCTAGAGAAAACGAGACTCAGAGAAATTTTGAAACAGAGAATGTCGATGGACCCGGCGCTGAGTGGTGCCATGGGTGCGGTGGCACCGGGACCGCCCGTGCCTGCTCCACCCGAAAAGAACAGCGTTACGTTTGGCGGAGACTTCCCGTCGGCGCGTTCTTCGTCTTTCGACTCGGCCAGCAAGGACATTGCCAGCGGCGGCCCGTCCGCCGAATCGCAGTTCAAGCCCAAGTCGCATTACGCTCAACCGTATTACCAGTCGACGTCGTCCAACCAGATACCGGCGTCCTCCAGTCAGTCCAATTATTCCAATAACAAGCCGGCGTATTCGCCGCGCAACAGTCTGGCCGACACCAGTCGCGTCCACAACAACTCGATGTCCGCCTCCAACGGCGGCAACTACAACAGTTACAACAATAACAACAACAACAACAGCAGCAGCGGTTACAGGACCAACGATTACCACGGCACGGGCAAACAGCCTGCGCCCCCGCCGCCCCTGTCGCCGTTTAGCCAAAACGGTGGCGGTGGCGGCAACCAGAATCGGCCGTACGGAGGCGGCGGCGGCGGCGGCAGTGGTAGCAGCAGAAGTGGCGACGGTAGACGACAATCTACGGCCCACCAGCCATCGACGTCCGGTTACATGCACAGGGACGAAAGCGGCGACGGGTACTTGAACAACGGGTTCGGCTATGATAGCAGCAGAACGCAGTACGACAACGGCGGCGGCAGCAGCCGACCGGGCCCGAGCGACGAGCCCGACTCTTCGCTGAGGCGTAACAAGAACTACGTCAACAGAGAGTCTCTGTACAATTTTCAACAGGTGAACGACTTGCACGAGTGATTGTTGGGTTTAACTGTATTGTATTGTGTTTGTGTGCAGGCGATGAGCGATCATTTCGACCATTACAAGAGGCCGCCGAGTCGGGACAGCAGCGTGGACAGGTACAGTCGGGCGGCCAGCCGACTCAGCGGCGAGTCCAGGCAGTCGTCGGTGGAGAGGGTCCGCAGAGACGTAGACGTTATACCCGGGGACGGTGGACGACCGATGGGCGGCGCTGGCGGCGGCATGATGTCCAAACAAGCCGCCGGTTCGTTGGGTAAGGCGGTGGCGGCCAACAGTCTTGCGCACACGCCGCCTCCATTCGAGGAGGTCATCCTGAGACAGCGGAACCTCGGACAGGAAATCGTGCCGTCGCCCATCGGACAGCCCAAACGCACTGAGTCACTGTACGTCAACCCAAACGCTCGGAAAGACCCCAGGCTCAGGGTGAGTACATACAGAGGCGCGCCCGATTTTATGTATTACTCACACTAGTTAGCCCCAACTATTGTAGTTGCATTTGTAGTTGTTGTTTTGCTTTGCACGTTGCACTTCTCCCTCTTTTATTTTTTGAAAACCCTTTAGTTATACTTATAGTTATCATATTTAGGGCTAATCTAACCTAACCAGCGCCACCTAATACTTACACCTTAAGCCGTTAAGGAAATTATATACAACCGATAAAACAACTTAGATTAACAATTGGCTAGTTTTTCTCATTTTTAACAAGATATCGTTTAGAAAATACAAAGTAAGCCGTAGATAGTGTTCATGTTGAGCATATGTGAAGCCTATCTGAACCCTGATTTGGGGCGAGGCAAGAACACGACTATTTACTAACGTGTAACATTTAGGCAACTTTTTTGCTTTGGCAAATTTTGGTCATTTTTGTCACTATTGACATACTATTTGTTTAGGTTGAACTATGTTTTTTTTTAAATACAATATTTTATGCATGTCATCTATTATATTAATGTTATCTTAAAACTATGATTGAAAACAATTAATACTATAAAAAGTAGTGGTTAATATTTTAGTAATATATATTTAAGGAGGAAAGGAAAGAGGGTTGGTTCGAAGGAAAGAATCTGACTAGACTGAACGGGATCGAAGTGTAACACTTCCAATTCTTGACTGATTTCTTGTGAAAGTTATTAAGAATGTGTAGTTCCAGAGCGTTAAAGTGCTATTGAAAAATTTTAACTTAAAAATTGACTCAATTTTATTTATTAACCTCTAAATGATGTATCACGTTCGATATAATTTTGTCGTTTGTTTTGTGCGTTAAGCACTTATTGAGTTAAGAAAAATCAATTAAAACGAATGGAAAAATCCTCTTCGTTGAGCTTACATCTATAATGACCTTTAGTTGCTTTTAGGGAAAATCCAGACCCGGTTTTGAGTAGCTTATCTCCAAGAAAAAACACCAATTCGTTTATAGTTAATTGGTAAAACTTCTTTTGAATTAAATTTTACAGGATAGACACATCAAATTTAGGCCACTTGGGTACTTTCAATATTGAAAGCGATAGGTATAATTATTTGAGCGATACCGTGTAAGTTAAATATTAGAATTGGCAATAAATAGGTCAAATGAATTAGTATTGATAATATTTAGATAGACCGTAGAGAAAGTATTATTAAGTCACGAGTTAAAAGTCAATTATTAAAATATTTATACATATTGACTTACTCTACTAACTCAATTGAGTTCTTATTTAATTTAAAAACCAAGTGTAACTTAGCTCTGTTTTACTCGCTTCCATTTTTTTTTCCGGAACTAACGATTGTCGTTGTGTAATACAAAACACAATTATTGATTTCAAGTAAAATAAAGTATCGCATATTAAACTACAAGTTTAAATTTAATTAATTCTGGTTTGCTTCTACTAAGTCAATTAAAAACTAAATGTAGTTTAATTTCGAAGACAAATACCTAATTTAACTCGATTATTAATATAATATCGAACAGTATTATGATAATCGCTTAGAATATTTTCATAAAAATCAGTAAATAAAATATAGGACATGCCTAACCACAGTGGTTAGCGTATGGTAAACCCGTATCAGATAACAATATTGTTATCATAAATAATATATTTGCTATGAAAGCTTAAAAAAACACATTTTCCATAACATCAGTGACAATAGTAGGTGGATAAATATTGAATTAATTAAGTCTTAATATTGAATTGTTAGTCCGCCATTAAAATAATGGCTTTAGTCGTTCGTTGCATCTATCCCAAACGACAACAGCTTTACTGTGTTGTTGTTATAATATTTACATGCTACGGAATTCGCATTAAATATTAATGTAAAAGCTCTGGCGTGAATTTTTATCGGTTTTGGACGACATAGTAATAATAATAACCGAAGGCATTAATAGAGAAGTAGTAGCCATGGCAAAACGATAAACGGTCGAAAAATGTTTTCAAATCTGTATCGTTTTCGAATCCATTTGGGTGATTGATTATTTTATTGTTTTTTCGTATCGAGTATTTTAAGATTAATAACAATAACCGATAGCAATCTAATAAAAACAAATAAAACAAAGTGGCATCTAATAAAAAAAAAAATTTGTCTGCTATGTCTTTGCGATACACTAATTAAAAACATTTCAAAGAACATACAACTATATTATATTACTATGTCCCTTGTGTGTTAAACTAGTTAGTTAAAATATGGCGCTTGGAAGTCAAGAGTTAATGATATTATTCTATATGATATATTTAGTATTGTTATTTCTGGTTTGATGAATCGATGCTAGCCCGTTTGTTGAGTATTATGTAGAATATATATATTTACAGGGTGTCACGGAAAGTTCTACCGAGCTTCAAATGAGACATTTAGGATGCTCTATGGGTACAATCAATGGTATTAATTTTAAAATTATTTAAAATAGAACTCGTATCTCATTAAAAAATGGTCTTACGAAAAAAATAATTTCAGATTTGAAATCAGGAAAAAAAATCTTGTTGAATTGATATGTAACATGATTTTTTGGTATCTGGCCACACATACGTCCACAGGGTGGCCACCGAGTGGCCACTGAGTGGCCGGCATGTGACTTAAACCAACATATAGCATGCGACACATAATTTAATATAAAATAATACTAAGAACACCACTGAACTGAGAATAAAATTCTAATCCAAAATGATGTGTCACATTTCATAAGTTTGTTTTGGTCATATGCCGACCACTTAGTAGCCACTCGTTGGACGCATGTGTGGCCAGATACCAAAAAATCATGTTACATATCAATTCAACAAGATTTTTTTTCCTGATTTCAAATCTGAAAGTATTTTTTTCGTAAGACCATTTTTAATGAGATACGAGTTCTATTTTAAATAATTTTAAAATTTAAAAAAAATTAATACCATTGGTTGTACCCATATAGCATCCTAAATGTCTCATTTGAAGCTCGGTAGAACTTTCCGTGAAACCCTGTATATATGAAATTATTACAAATATAGTAATATTAGTATATAATTTACTATTTAGTTTGTTGTTTGATAATAATATATATTATTTTATTATTTTATTTTTGGTATTTTTACCCACATATTCTTTAGACTTGTTTATACGAAACACTATTTTGCAACATATTTTGCAGTTGATCTTCCTGATTTTTCGATGATTGATAGTATTATCATTGATTTAAAAATAGTATATTGATAAGCAGTGCTATACACAATAACGGTGGCCTGATTTCTGGGGGATTCCAGCCGTTAATAGAGGTGCCCTCGCCATAGTTAATGAATAGGCGAGTGGTAAACCATGAAGAGGGTACCTCTGTTGACGGCGGGAATCCCCAATAAAATAAGTTGCCAGTTTTGTACATATCATCGTTTATTTGTGTTTTTTTAAATCAAAAGTATTATTTAGATTTTGTAGAGTAATTTTTTTTTAATCGTTTTTATCCTCGTTGTGGTAATTTTTGAAGTTTTGATTATTTTGAAGTACATTTATAGATGTTTTCCTTATTACCCTTTTGCGGTAGAGTCAGTGTGTTCTTACCATTTTATTATTTTGATATTATTATTTTTTCCCCACTCGATCGACAACAACTTCCTATCCGGATATGCTGGTACGTAACCGACCGCGGTTTTATGGAAATTAATTTGGAAATATTTGTACAATATTTTTTTTTTATGTTTTTTCGATTTGTATACCAATACGTCGACGTTTAATGAAATGAAAAAAAAAAAATAATTGGTATTGTAAAGAAATTTATAATGTATACATACGATTTTGTGTTGTGTATTTTGTTACCAATTGTAAAAAAAAAAACGACCAATTAAATATTACTGCAATTCTACGATTACAACAGGCATTTAAAATCCGAATTTTATTTAACACTCAAGCAACGTTCCTGTGTTCCGTTTTCCTAATGTAGGTACTGTTTGTCAAATGCTGTTTTGAACTATAAACATGTATAATAGTTGTGTGGAGCTAGAAACCTTGAACTGCTGAAATCAGATCGTTCAGATCCAATGCCAGGATAATATCAATTTTACAGAAAAAATATGGTGAATAAATGAAATAATGTACTATTCGAATAATCCTTAACCACGAAAATAATACTATATAGCGTATACATTTGGTCAGAAATGTTACCATCATCAGCGCTAACAACAGACTGAGACCGATCACGGACAAACACCTCCTTATACTTTTACAGCATCGTCAATCGTCATACTTGAAATGATCATAAACTTTTTTTTTTTTGCATTTTAATAAAATGTTTTGTAATGGACTCAAGTTCGCAACAGGATATTTGTGTGTTTCTAATCTTACCATACTATTAAGTGCTACCATTTTATGTTGCCAACAGTGATTTGGATCTTTAGAACTATACCTTTCTTACAATAAATCTCGAAACTTAAATAATTGTATATTATTTTAATTAGTAAATCAAGGAAAGGAAGGTTTAAAAAACAGTAAAATTACTGTAAATTTAAATAATTCTGAAGATCTTAGAGTATTAGGAGACAATAGAAATGCTGAAAAATAGAAACAATTTGTTAAACTGGGACTCGAGTCTGTTACAAAACATTTGATTAAAGTTCATAAAAAACATAAGTTTACGATGATCATTTCCGATATGACAACGCTGTATTATTTTTGTGGTTAAGATTTATTTAAATATTTCATTATTTTATTTCTTTACTACACATAACCTCAAGTGTTGATTAAGTTTTTTCTAAAAAAAAAAAAAATATGGTTACTGCTTAAAAAAAGTATACCTTATAATATTGTCATCCATCCCAGATAATTTACAGACAGGGCAGGGAAAAATGTAATTAGGAAAACAATAAAAATTAAAACAAACCGAATAACATTTAATTGAAATAAAATTGTTTATATTATATTCGAAAAAGTTACAAATAACGCACCCGAGTTATATTTTTATTAATTTTCGGAATGAAGATTTTTTTTTAAAACTAATACTATTAGTAATTTATTCGAGTGCTCGACTATAAACTGTTAAATTTTAACTGCTGTCTATAAATTATCGCCTCTCCAGCGGATGTCTATGCACCTTATAAAACTTAAGTGTATATTGTACCAGACTTTTACAAGACTGAGCTGTAATGGCTTTTGTCACGTATCGCATGCGTGATCATAATAACATACAGCTTAAGTACTAACACATTATTATGTCATGGCTTGTTCGATTAACTTTCAGGGGCTTACACACAACAAAGTAAGAAGAAAAGTACACAACACATTTATAATAGTTTTCTAAACGCCGAATGGAACAGCTACTCGGTACCTGGTTTTAGTCGTTTCAATTGGTCGACCGTTTCTTATTTTACCAACGTAAATAAGATGGTCGTGTGTACGTCCTTGTTCGTCACTGCTGCACTAATTTGTTTACCTAGGATAGCTATTTTGCTTCGATATTACAGGGAAACGAAATGGCTTTCATATATAAAAGTGCTTGCACTTAAATGTTACACTAACAATGAGTACGAAAAAACCCATCTGCCATCCACCTTAACTACTAGTGAAATATATGCTTGTTATTTAAAAACTTATTGTTCATCGATATAAGATCTTTTTTAAAATCTAAACAAACAATTTAATGTACAACTAGAGTAAACGTATCAGACAGATGTATAACTTGTTCGAGATAAGATGAAAACTAATTACTAAACGCAGGTTTAGGTTCTTTTAGAAGTGAACAATTAAGGCTTACCGCTAGAAATTTAGTATGTTGATCATGTTTGATACAAGCAATGCGTCAGTAAAATAGACTGGTCTTGCATTTTTACAATTAATATTTTACCAAACGTATAATTACAAAATACTCAACGCGTAAGTATTTCGTGTTAGTTTGAAAACTTTTGGATGCATCTAAGTCTTTGTGTATAGGCTGACGTTTCGGATCCTTCTTAAGAGCCATAGCCACCGTTCCACAGTGGGGACTATAGGTTTCAATAGGTAACTCTCGACTATAGTTCAGATACATTGGAAAGTTATCGAATTCATATTATCTCAACCAATGAATGTTTTTACACATTCATCTGTATTTTGTGTTAATTAATATTGTGACTTACAAAACAAAAAAATAAACAGTCACGATGTTCTGATGAAAATTTTATGTATACATACGTGTGTAAAAGCTAACAATGTGAAAATATATTTACACTTTTTACAGAAATAATTTTTGAAATGATTATAAAAAATTAAAAAAACAATTACAAACAGAATTAGGAAACGTTTGAGCTAGATAATATCACACACAGCGAGACGAGCAAGGCGGCCATGCCTAAAGAGTGGTACCAAAGCGGTCGAAGCACACCGGCCGAACTTATTCCGATGTTAAACTTGTCGACGATGTGAAGTTTCCAACCCATATTGTTCTGGGTGAAACTATGGTAGTACACGGTGTCCGGCCACGAAGAGTTTGGTTTGAATTCCAAAATGGCCGGTTCGCCTGAAAACCAAAATCAGACTCGTCATGATACAGTTCAGTTTAGTTTAGTTTATCGGCTCGTTGAATCTACAAACTCACCCGGTTCACATTTCATCGTCAACGATCGGTTGAACTCTTTGAACGTCATGAAGTTGTCGTCAAGACGATGGTCTGACATCCGACGCTCTCGAAGGCACAGGGGACCGGCTAAAGGACAAAAACACAGTTCAGAGACTCGTGGAAACCAAAAGGTTCTTCTATCAATCTACACCGTTTTGGATTTGGGATTATACGTCGGTTTTAATATTCGAGTGAATTTCACTTCAGCGTGAACCTCTCTCTCTCTGGCTTGGGATCAAGAGCCATTTAAAACTCTTTGAAATCCTCAAAAATACTCAACAAACTTGATCAAAACTTTAGGACCATTGTGGCAAGTCCTTTGCAGTCGTGCCTTCATTGATTTCATCTGTTTGTCGAATAACCAAACCCGACCGTCGAGTAAAAAAAAAGCAATGCTAATAACGTACCAGCGATTGGCCGGGCTTGCCGCCTTAACGTGTACTGTACGCCCGCAAGAATCCTAGTGTGCTTCTGGGCAGATTCCGGCATACCGTCGAAGCCTCCATTGGGTTCATCGGTAATCACAAACGGATGGTAATACTGTGAGCTGTGTGCATTGTTACCACCGTACACATGGACGGCGTACGTGATGCCCCGTTTCAACCATATCTCGGGTATGAGGTGACCGTTGATGTACCAAGCGAGACCCGGCGACGGCATACCTAGAGAAGCAAATCCAATATTTCTACACACTGAACGACCGAGTAAAAAAAATAGCAATTTTTATCATTTACCCGTTAGGCCTTGGTATCCTTTTCGTCCACCCGACGGCCCTAGAGTGGCGGTTACGGCGCGAAGGCTACTGTCAATGATCTTTGACTGATCCCACACGTCCCTGAAACCCACGACCGTTGTCTAAATTACAAGGAGCAACGATTTGTTGGGCTAGTGAAGCGGGTTATTTAACAGTAGTGCTTAAATAAGCAAAAATACCAATGTTATTCTAATGGTAGGTATAAGGATGGATTACCACCTTAGGAAAATAAAGTAACGAACCCCGTCGCCGGTTCCAACACTCGTTAAATGTTTTTGTCTTCTTCTTCTTCTTCTTCATGTTCGCCTGACACTCCCAACTATACACGAGGTCGGTCACCCTTGAGCGTCTAGGCCTCCATAGTGCTCGATCTCTTACATCTAGTTCAATCACCCTAGCTAATCTCATATCACTCTCTATTCCGTCTATCCATCTTTTCTTCGGTCTTCCTCTTTTTCCTTCTACATTCATCATCATAACAACTCTCTTTGCCTCTGCCTCATCTCTTCTTATAACATGTCCGAACCATCGCAGTCAGTCTAGTCTCTCTCATTTTCCCCTTATGTATTAATTTATAATTCTATCCTCCCTAGCCATTCCACTCATCTATCTTACCATTCTCATATTCGCTACACTCATTCTCTGTTCAGTTTTCTTGTCTACTGCCCAAAATTCTGACCCATATAACATTGCTGGCCTCACTACTGCCCTATAAAATTCGCTAAACGTTTTTGTAATTTTCGAAAAATAGTTTTTACTTTTTGGCAGGTTCACTCTTGGCGGCAAACGCGTAGCAAGTATCCACTGGTGGTTTGGGGTCCAGGTCCAGTTTTTTGACGCTCCTCGGGTAGTAGTCGTGTAGCGAAGGCTCGTTGAGGTGATTCATGCGACCTATCGCCCATATCATCGAGTTCACACCGGTCGTCTTGAACTCTTTGTCGCCGGCATCGTCTGTACGTGCACGACGGTCGAAAATGGATTATTTTCGAAAGCAAAATTAAGTCTCAGCACTTACACGACTGCAGGTTTCTCCGGTACGTGATCACGGTGATTCCGTTCTCCCTGGTGGCCGTGTGCACCTGGTTGTCGTCAAGTCCGCCCACCAAAACGTCTCGGCACACACCCTTGTATTGGCCCAACACTTTGACGCACTATAAACAGCACAGAGTTAATTAATTATACTGTTGCAAGAGAGAGACTCCGAGTTAGTTGACCGACCGGCGAAATAGCAGTGACGTTGTAGTCCACGGCCTGTCCCCGGAATCCGTCCATGTAGGCCACGGTAAGGTCGGCTCCAAGCATTTGCGCCTTGTCTTCGGATCCGCTGAAGCCGAACGCCATGTAGTCGCCTTCGTCTACTTGTCCGGCAAGTCTGACGGTAATCTGAGGACCGAACACTTGCCAGCTGACCTGAAGGTTTTTGTGCAGCTGCACGCAATGCATGATGTTTTCCACTTTGTCCTGACGATACGAAAATACAAATATAAGTATTTGAAAACGCCTTTGGAAGCGCAACACAAAGGCACAGCTACTCACGACGACTTTCTGCAACGACGGCGGTACGTTGGGTTCGTCCGGTATCAAAGCCCAACCGTAGTTCTCTTTGGTCTCCATGTCGTACACGCTCAGCCAGTCCACGTCGAACACGGTCTTGTCGCCGGTTATCTCCAGAGTAACAGTCTCGTTGGAATATGACCTCAGGTTGTCCAAACTATAACGGTGTTAATCAGACTACAGTCGTTTAAATATATATGTATTGTAATTCTCCACTCACTATCCCAATTCGTCCGGTAATTTTTGGCCTTTGGCCGACGGCTGCGGTCCATTTCCGACGATAAAGTACGTGTCTGACGAAATACATAAATTAATTATAAACCTGATTCGATTCAAAGTTAAGCATACAACTGCATTACCTCTGCCGCCTCCGTTGTAGGAGAACATGGGTAGTCGGATTGTCTTGGAGTCGAGTATTTCGATCTGACCCGAAGAGACGCCATGTGATTTTGAAGTGAGTGCACCGATCACTTGTTTAAGAGGCGGTTCGAAATCCTCTGGAATGTACACGTCCCCGAACGCGATCTGCACAAGTATATCATTTGACATAAACCAATTGTATTTAAAAAAAAAATTGCACGCATAAAACGGTAATAAAGCTGATGAAGGATAGTAACAGAAAACTCGCTACACGTCTAGAGGAGAATTTTAATAATACAAAATGGGACCGTTGCACCACTATAAAAAATCATTGAATAGAAAAGAACCTTAATTAAACATCATAATTTGGATTTTGTTTACCTCACTCTGAAGTGGTAATTAGCGAGGGTGTTATAAAACGTTTCAACTGAGAAGGGAAAGACACCCGATGCGTGTAATATAATGTAAGCTCATAAGCGAGGTTGGGCAAATTAATGATTTTGGATAACAACTCCTTAAAGGAAGGATTGTTTTAAAACCCGGTAAAACCCAAAATAATCAGTATTTTATGCAATTTCAGAGGAATAAAACAATGATTCTTTAGAAACTTAGATATTTAAAAAAATATTAATTATTCAATTTAAAATAATATTGCAAAATTTGTATATTTAACTAAATATGACTCTTTTTTATATTCAATTAAATTTTCTTTAAAATTTAAATATATTCAATATATTTTAAGACATTTATTATTTATCACAAAAACATAACAACATTTGGTTCTTTCTAGCGCTTTAAGTTAAAAAAAATAAGATTTTATTTGAATTGAAAGCCAAAGACGTGTGTATGATTCAATACTGATTTTTTTTATTCAATACTGACAAACAGGTATGATTACATAGGTAATCCTAACTCGATAAAACTATAAGATTGTTATTTAGTTTCTAATTTAGAACTTAAGCTAAGCTTTAATATATCTTCTGGCTTCTTAAAAATCTCACAACTATACAATATCTAGGGTGTGACATGTATAAATGTACTATAAATACTTAAAAATCTTTTAAATTCAAAATTAATTAGTTTTTTTTTTTATGTGTCTTAAAATCCTTATAAAATGAACCAAGACAAAAGAAAATGCAACAAAAAAAACGTCTGCAGATAAGTATGCATTTCATTTAAAATGATTACAGATAAAAACTAATGTAGACATTTTTTTTGTAATTTTAATTTATAAATTATAATAATTTATTCTTAAAAAAAGTTTGCCACTTAAAAAAAATACACAATGGTTCAGCCATAAAAAATTACCAAAGAAATAAAATAACATATTATTTATAATTTCACTAAAAAATGTAGTGTGCAAATAATGCTCAAAAATAATTAAACATGTCGTTCAGACTAAATGGCAAATTTAATTATTTAGGATAAACGTAATAATACTTCAGCATAACTAGGAAAAATAGTTAATAAATGTTTGTTTATTGCCTTAATTGTTTTTTAAGTAAATTTTGTTAAAATTTTTAAAACAAATTAATTCATTTTTTATTTGAGAATAGACATAATATAGTTATCACGTTTAGCAATTTTGGTTTAGCGCATGCCATTCAAAAAATATATATATGTAAAAAATGTGATTAGATTTACATGTTTAGTGGTCTAACTAGTTTTGCTACAGCAAAGATTTCCAAAATTGTAAAAATTTACGTCGACGACATACAGTACTAACACAAACTAGAACAGTCAAAGAAACAGCTAGTTTTAAATCTAAAACTACAGATGTGTGGGCGTCTTCTGAATAAAATACCACAAATTTCCATTGGTACTTTTAGACCCAATACCAAAATTGCCATTAGCCGTTTTAGACCCAAAGTACACAGCTATTATTGTACTCACGTTCTTGGACAGGTCGTAGATGGAAAACCATTTGATGTCCGTCAATTTTTTGTTGTCCGGCAACGTGAGCGTCAACTGTTTTCCCAGATACCTCTTGAGCACGTCCGTCCTAAGTGGGCATTGAGGACATTTTTAGAAAGTCAAATTTTAAATTGTCAAGTCTTAGATAAGCGATGTCTTAGAATATAAATATTTTGGGATGCCGAGTTTTAAGTATAATACGTTTACTGCATAAAATTACCATATACAATTATATATGAAATAAAAATACATAAAAGCAAACACATTATAAATTAACATTTTAAATTACGGTTCAATTAAAAAAATGTCTTTAATATTTAAAAAATATAATTATTTTCAGTACTTTACAATTATATCTCTCATAAATTCCTTTAACCCAGAATTATTCGTTTACCAACATTCAACAAGTTCTTGTTTTCTGTTTTCATTGTACTTTTTCTTTTTAATACTCTATTCGAAATCAGTTATGCATTTAAGTATGGATGATAGGGGCAATATCCCTCCCCCCTCCTGAGAACTTTATCATCATACTATTTTTTTTTTCACTTCGGGTTTATTGTTCAAACTTTTTAAATTAGTATTCATTCAGAAATAAAACATTTTTGAATAAGTATTTTAATACTTTAAAAAAGTACTTAATATTCTCGACTAGAGGGCAAATATTAGGTATTTTTTGTTTTCTCTATTGTTACTTCAATTGTGATATTCAAGTACTCCGTTTCTATAAATAATAACTCTATAATAAATAGTTCAAATTTGCAGCTTTTTATTATGTTATCAAATATGTTAAAAACAAATGACGAAAATGGGTTAAGATCGCCTGACCGATATGGCGAAAATTCGGTTATTGTTTCCAAACAAGTTATTATTTTTGTAAAAAAATATTCCATTTTTCTTGTGAAAATTTTACTCAAATTATAAAATAACATACTATACAATAAATCCTAATTTGTACTAGTGCAAATGCTAAATTGAAATACTATTTCATTGTCATATCTTTTAATTGAACCTTATATAACATAAAATTGAGTCATAGTGGTATTATATTGAAATCACATTTTTAATATTTTTTTGGAGATTGAAACCACCGTAAGAAAAACACAAAAATTCCTGTGGGACTCAAAGAGGTAAAAAGTGTCGGGCATGATTTAAAAGTACCCTTCTAAAATCCAAAATTGTGAATTCTTTAAACAATTACAGTTTTAAACTGTTGTAAAAAATCATGACATAATCATAATTTTGTGGTTAACTGTTTTAATTAAAAATTTCTTTTCACTCAAGGTGTTGACAGATACAGATCTAGCTGAGCAATTTGTACAGCACTGAACTAATTGATTTTTCCCAATCACAATAACATGACTTTTTAATGCAAAACATAAAGTTATATGTATTCTAAAACTGGGCTTTTCTAAAAAAAAAAGTAATTTAAACGGTTTTTTTTATTCTGAAACACAGCTTTTCCAACATATTCACCCGAATCAACGACGGTTAGGTAGGTAGGGCTTTCTGAGCTACCCTCACACGGGTCAGGATAGGTCTTACCTTCCATATTCGTTGGCCAAGATGAACCCTTGGGGTCCGGGTCGACTCGAGGCTCCGGCCCAGAAGAAAGCGTCGTTGGCGCTGCCGTCGAAAGTGAAGTCTTCCAGCAAAAGCGTGTACTCGTTGACGGCGTACACCTGACCGGACACCTGATGATGATAAGAGTTGAGACCGCCCAACGGTTTGCCTTTGTACTCTTCGGCTGCTGTCCAGTGGACTGCTAGGGGACAGATAATATTACTATAAGATACAGCGGATGGTCATTTCGATTCAATACACACTTACATTGCAACAGACCGAGCAACAGCGTCGTCCACGTCAGCAGCAGCAGCGAGCCGCAACGCCAATTGTTCATTGTTGGCGATCCTATCCAATCGGTGTGCCTTTCGTTTGAGATGCTGTTTTCTGGGGTTTTTGCCTTTAGGTTTTTGTGTTTATTTTGTCGGTAAGCAACGACCGTAGTACACGTAGGACACTACATGGCCACGACGACGACGGTGCGCCAGCGGGCAACCTGACTGACTGCTGTATTATAATGTGCTGCTCGGTCGTCATAGGCGAGTTGTCTGTGGCGGTGGCGGTGCGGTTAGTGGCGGGCCGGGGCACCGGAGAGAGGAAATATTTAGAAAGTGAACGTCGTTCTGGAGAGGTGGTTTTTCGTGTGGAGGTGGTCAAAGACCCGGTTGTAAGAATAAAAAAAAAAAATCAAAGAAAGAGAAAGAAAATAAATTATTATTACAATATCGTATTAAGTATTATATTGTTATCGTTTCGGTAGAATGTACCTATAGTTCTTCGACCGGCTCCGTTGCGGGTACCTCTACTATATGACCGCTAAAAAACTATCCTATAGATAATATTTACACCTACAACGTCATGTTTATATTTTATTCGGTGTACTATTATTTGCATCGGTCAAACGTTTCCATACTATGCGAGACACGTTCACTTGACTTGGCTTGAGCGCAGGACCCGAGGCCAAGTATTTTTGGTTTACGATGATGAGTTTTGAGCTAATTTAAATAAAACAATGTTTTAAATATTTATATACATTGAAGTGAATAACAAAGGTAGCCATTACAAAAAGCCGTCAACTGAAAATAACGGCCGAATTTATGAAATACAAGTTTTAAGTATTAATTTATAAGAGCTGTGGTAATATCGAAACCATACAGAAGTCTTTACTATACAATTTCCTTTGTTTGAATATTTTTTTTTAAATAATCGTTTAGCGGTTTGCTTATTTTTTTTTTATCCATTATCTAAAACCGATTTTTTTTTCCTTTATTGAAAAGGATATTAGAACTTTGTCCACTCTCAAAAACGATTTTTGCTGTTGTGAGCTCAAAACAAAAGAGTTCTATTTGGCAATAGTAAAATTAGACAATAGGTTTAGCTTCGATGCGGAGCTGACAAGGTATTGTTTTTACAATGATGTGTTTTTGTTTTAATTTTTTTGTATATCTTCTAAACCGCTGAACCGATTTCTTTGTGTAGCAACTCTATAGATCAGAAATCGTACTTGCAAGGTACTTGATTGAGTCACAAATTTAAAAAGTTCCTCTTCAAAATTGAGAAAAACACTAAAAAAATGTACATATTTTTCAACCTTAAACATGTACGCTCTATAAGTTTTTTTTTTAAAAATAGTCAAATTTGTATGGGCTATTTTTTAGACATAGTATAACCGATAAACAATGTTAAACCAAAACAATATCATAAACTCTTTCCCCTCTCAGAAGGGGTGGACATTTTTTCTTTATTTTGCTTTTATAGATGAGGTTTTAGAGCTTATGGTCTGAAAATTATACTGAAGGTAAATCGAAAAATAAGTTTATTATAATCTAGTAAATTTCTAAGTCATGTGTGTGTGAGAGTGATATCTTCAAAACAACATTTTCCAATAAATTATGAATATATTATTTGATTACTTTAATAACTTACATTTTTACATCAGACCAGCGTTGATCTTGGCTTTGTGCAACGATATGACCTAACCTAACCGTTCATAGACCGGTATGACGCAATGGGAATTTACACATTTTGCAATGACTGTTCACCACTGTAAACACTACACCAAAACTAAAATTTACCGAGTATTCATATAAATATTGTTTGGCAGTTAAGTACACATTCAGTAAAATATAATGAGGCCGAAGCTTGTGCAAAAATATGACTATAAATTCAATTGTTTCTAAAATGTCAAATTAGGTCTACGTGTAAAATGGTTGATTTGAACATTTAAATAACTTTGTTTAGTGAAAAACATATAAATAAATTCTGAGTGATTTTATCACATTCTATGTGAAATACTTTGTTAATTAATTCGGTTAAAACTTAAAATAAAATATGTTATTTTAAAACTAAAAAAACATAATCATTTTTGTTACAGCTAACATCTAAAACATCGGCTTTGATTATTTACCTAATATCAACATCTTGTCAAATAATAACAATAAGATGATTAAAAAGAAAAAAGACATAACAAGTTTTCTTTTCTATAATAATTACAGTATATTACTAAGTCATATGTAAAATAAATTTGTTATAGTATCATATTTAAGTAACGAAAAATGATATTTTAATTACAATAATATAGCAGTGGACGTGCTCAACATGTTGTGCTTGTAACAGGCGTTTATTGGCCACCTAACACTGTCAGGTTCTCCGGCTTGAAAATAACAACAACAACAAAAAATCTAAAAAATGATTTCGTTCATAAATTTCACATGACAATTATTGGTTATTTAACACACAGGAAACGCCAACTCAGACGGCGTTGCAGCGCAAAAAGAGTCTGCCGGATGTCCAAGCGCCGGCAAACGCTCCTGCGTCGATCACCAGAGAAGAAGTATCGGTTCTAAGTTCTGCAAGGAGAGAAGAAATCCGAAGGATGGAAGAAGAAAACGAACGACTACGGGCCAACCCGTTGCTTTACTTAGTCAGTCCACACATGAAGGTAAGACGAGAGTTAAAAAAATCCACATCAAACCGCTGCCTTTCTGGGAGAACTATCTAACCTAGGTGGAATTAGGACCAGAAAAGGGACTGAAGACCTTTGGAAACCAGAGTTGGGCATTGCTCGAATGAAACAATAATAATTAATTAAATAGTTGTAAATAGAAGAGAACTTTACGTGTGATTAGACGTTTCGAAATTGTCGATAACTCAATGCACTAATTTGTAATTATTTATTGAAAAATACTCAAAACCTAAACTATGAAAATGCATAGAAAAAATAAAGATTTGACCTATCAAAAAATTTTTTTTATAAAAATGTAGTGAATTTTGTACTGTCACTGCATCTACTGTTTTCATCATGATCATATAATAATAATTATATTTAAAAATAATTTTATATTTTAACTGATCCAGTTTCGTTTATACAATTCAATGTTCAATGTATAATATACTGTATACATATACATATGGGGTTCCCATTTAAGTTTCAAAAGTTACTAAAAACTACTTAAGGTAAGATTTTGGATTTAAGCCTTAAATGTGTATAAAATAACACCAACCAACATCCGAAAGTAATAACGGCTCTAAAAATTGCCCGTTTTTTTAACTTTTTGAACACCCTGTATACCGAATATCAAATATTAAATAATGCCCCTCCTACAAAAAATATTGTTCTTATACTTGAATCATTTCTTTTGTTTGAGTAATTATTTTTTTTAATGTTTTTTCAGGATTGGTTCACGAGACAACAGTTGGTGTTAGTCATACTGGTGGTTAATATTTCTTTGGCGCTGATGTTTTTCAAATTGTTGACGTCCTAAACGACCGGACTGGAATATTTATAGATAATAATATATATTTTATATGTATATATTTATATATATATATTATCAAATAGACAGATTGAAACCAATATATTATATGAACAGTGTCGTATGTCAAACATAGGTATCGGAAACGATTATTTCCCCTTAAACCGAATAAAACGGAGAAAGAAAACAGTAAAATAAACAACGTTTAAAAAAATCCAAAAGGAATTTGTCAGTTAACGCTTACAACTTTTGATAGATATTAGGGCTTTTTTTTTTTTTTTAGATTTTTCAATTGCCAGTAAATATTGATTTGTCCAAATGTACACCTACTACCTGTTTATTGCCTGTGCCTTGCCTGTACTTAGCTAATATTTGTTTTTTCCCTCATTTCCATTTATAAACTATTCGGTTTGCCTAGTTAACTTTCAATTTCGCAAGCGTTCATTAGATAAATACAATTACCTCTTCAAGTTATTATTATAATAATATTCTAGAAATATAATAATTTACAAAACAATGTACATACAATATACCTCAATGTATATTGTTTTCTTAATGTGGAGACAGGGCATCTTGAACGGAATAGTGATAATATATTGTAATTTGGTATTTTGAAATTGTATTTGTACTTACCAAAGAAGAGAAAATCAGTGTAAAATCAAAAAATTTATTTAATTATTATATATTTTTTTTAAGATAAATTTTACATATATAGATTATCGAATGTTAACAAAAGTCTTTGGTCTTAGTCGTGTAAAAGATTCTGACCGGATCATTAATTTAATTTTATAACATAATTTATTTTACAAATATTACCAATATGTTATGCTGTATTGTTATAATATTCTATTAGATGTTTTTTTTTTACAAAAAATATTGTCCAACCAAAAATAGTCATAATTTATAATATGTAAACTATAAATAGTTCGTATTTTGACGTTGTTAGAAAATTATATTATTTTAAATATATATTATATCAAACATGTATACATTATTATATATAATATATTTAAGTAAAAATATAAGCGATTAAGGATAAATAATATTGCAGAGTAATTAGTTTATACTTTATTTTATTTTCAGGAGTTTACATGCCTACTGGTAAAATTAGAAAATAAAATAGTCAATTGATCAAAAATCCATGAACGGGTATGATTCAAGCTTAGACAAAATGTATCATGTTTAAATGCTTTATTTTATCCATAATAAGGATTTAAAAAAAATGTTTGCACTTGTCCATTCTTAACACTTAGTCACTTTTGGCATAAGACCGACAAACAATCTATAAAAAAGTGATTTTAATATTTGTTCGGTAAAAACGCGTTTTGTTTTCGGTTTTAATCTTTATTTAAATAAAGTAATCCTGTTTATTTTACCTAAGCTATGTGTTTTAAGAGTAAAACTTTATACCGGAAACGTTTGACTTTAGAGGTAAGAAATAATAGAGATGCAATAAGACCGGTACAGTTTTGGTATTTATAAATGTCTATACTTCCTTTTTAAAAGGTATAAATTGTATTTTATTCTATTTACAAAGATTTTGAAAAAAATTACAAATTAATTACAAATTTTTGTTTCTAATAATTACTCACGTTGTATTTGTCATTCGAAAATTTTGACGTAACAAATTCACGTGGCAATTGTTTAATTATTGTATTTCTTCAAACCCGTGCATAAAATTGAAAGACTATAAGAAAATAATATAGCCAGTGGATTTATATGTAAGTGTGTGCAACAAAAAAACTGCATAATTGTGTATAATATTAATTTTCAGGCGACTAATGGAGTTTTAATAGGTAATTTTGAAAACTCCACTTCTATATACCAGGTGTTATAAGCCAACTGGCAATACAGTTATCTAGAAAAATGTCATATTTTATAGGTACCTACTTAGCGTCTATTTTGTGCTAAGTACAATATTGGAAAACGTTTATTAGGTATATTATTACCTACGTTCTAACCGATGATGACCGGTGAAATGACTGTGATTGTCTGTGTTATCATTTTTAAATTAATCCTGTTTGGTAATGTTGATGTTGACAAAAGCACGAACACTTGTACTCGAATATTCATATCTCAAGTATAAGTCAAAAATAGTAAATTGATTTTTACTTTTAAACTTATACAATATTAAATGATAAATGCAAATATAAATTACGGTAGTAGTTATATTTTTGCCAAAAATATTTTATTTTATGTTATAATATAAACGTTTTTTTACATTATTACAAAATTAAAAATAATATTTTTTAAAATTATAAATAACCGCGCTTACGTACCTATCGAGTTATTTCGTCTTTTTGGTATTTTTCTTATCATACCAACAATTGTTATCAGTAGAAATGTTATCAGTTATCATTTTGTCTAATTTCAATTTTTTTTTTTAACTGTTGTCTGTTAAATGTTTCTTAATTAACGAAAAACTGCTCATTATTCGTCGAACATGACTTATTTATCATTTTTTACCTTATGTTCGTTTAAATATTACACTGTTATTTGTGAATTTATTTTATTTTTGAAAATTGCCATGTATTTAATCGTATTACGGTGTACGGATCTACATATTATATCGTATTTACTTGATTGGCTGTGCAGACAAACTGTTAATTTATGTTATAAGCCAGCTTGAAGAAATTTACAGTGAGGAATTATTTATAATAATTACCAAAGTTATCTATAATAGACATTTTATTAGCTAAATATTTCCAGTCTTGTTTAGACTTGAGTAAACCCTTTGTTTTCATTTGTAAGCAGCTTTTAAATTTTAGAGAAAAAATATAAGTAAAACAAATTGTATACATTTTTTCTTAGTATTTGTATGTCTAACTGTTAGACCTTTTTATCATCTTATTAATGTATTTAACTTGTATATTTTGCTTGAACTTCAGTAGCGTGATTAGAAAAAAATATATATTATTACTACTACTACAACTAATGTTGATAATTAAATTATTTAAAAACTAAGTAACTAGTATCTTTTTTGTTTTTTAGGAAAAAATCTAAACATGATCAACAAACTGCGATATACAAAATTGTTTTTTGCTGAAGGCAAATGCTCTCCTTGATTTATTTTTCCTGGCTATTACCTCGGAACAACTTTTGTTGGTCTCTGCACAAAATGATATCTAAAAAAGATTTGTTCCAGATGACAATAGTTGGCAGTATAAATGCAAACTTCTGTAGATGTATGGTAAGTATAAAACTGAAATCATAGATACATATGTATTATAATATAGTCAATCTGTTGTTAATATTAGAATTATGTGACGGAAAGAGGAAATATTAAGAGGACACCGAACAAGTATTTTTGTATTAAAATTAATGTGTCCGATTTCAAATGCTGTGAAGCCTTTTATGAAAATAGACCCATAAGTAATATACCGTTGAAAATGTTGATAAGTTCTGCTGTTTTTTGTTGGAATTCGATTATCATAATTGTAATTTTTTCCTACTTTATAGGCAAATGAATATTACTGTATTACGATATTTTTGGTAAGCTGTAATTCTCGCTTTTTGGTACTATTTTCAAAATCAGATCCCATCAAGACATCATTGAATTCTTTATGTTTTAAATGGTAAAAGAATTTTGGCTTTTTATTCACAGTATGTTAATTACAAAAAAAATTGTAATTTTTGTTGCAGAAATGACAGTGATAGTCTGACAATATAAATAACAACTAATAAAGAATCCTCATTATTATATCACAAGTATACACAACAGTTGAAGCTCTAAATTTAGATTTTGCGAAAAAAGTTTGGCTTTTAGTCTATTGGAAACCATAGAACGAGCAACATCAGATCAAAGGCCTGATGATGAAATTTGCAAATACACTGCAACATTGGCGGACCAGTCAATCTATCCATGTGGCAAGATGTGTAAACAGTGTAAATGCAATACCACAAACAATTAAGGTTTGTCCACATTAACGAACCGCGGACACATAATGTGTGTGCACAACATTTTAGTCATCTACACAGTGTCAATATTTTAAACAATTTTTATGTGTATGTTCATGATGTAGTTGTGTTCACTAGTGTGAACAAGGCTTAAGTAAAAAAATGATCAAATAAATATAAAACCAATAAATCCATTTAATAATTTATATTTGAAAGTTACTAGTTATTATAATGATAAAATTCAAATTACGCATGAAATATCTTTTGATTTGTAACTCCTAACTCGCTTAACACTAAAAGCTATATATTAATATATATCCTTGTATATCTTTTCTAGTAACTGATTTATATCAAATTATATTTAAATGTTTTATGGCTAAAAAAATTCTCAAACTATAACTAAAATTAATTTTTTTTAAATGTTATTAATATTTGTTTTGGTAATTTTTAGGCATGGAAGATCGGATCTAAAGAAAACATTTGCACTGATTACTGGTTACTGCTGTGGTTGTGATACATTAAGACAGATACACTTTTTGTACAACATGAGAGTACAAGAAATAGCGTCATAGCGTACAAAATGAACAGCCTACTATGAGAGTATCTTTATAATTAAATTTGATGAAATGTGTCATCTTCGCCTTTAGGTAAAAAAAATTTAAGTAAAACTTTTTTAAAAAAAAAATAAGAAACTTAGAGAATTACAAGAATTTGTTCAACTGGCCTATAAAATTAAATACATTACCAAAAATTACTTTTAGGATTTTATGATAAATAATACATAGGATGTTCTTTTTTTTTAGGTATAGTTAGAAGTTAGATACTGTTATTTTTATATTTAAGATGATCTAAACTGACAAACGTGTAAAATACTGTTATCATGTTGCAGGTAATCTTTGGAAATATTTCATGGATACGGGACTTGCATTGTATTGTTTAAAGTAAAAGCAAAATAAAAAAATGTTTTGAAAAAAATGTCATTTATAGATGTCAATTTGATAGCTTACCTGCTGATACAATATAAAAAAGGCCATAAATAGAAAAAATTACAGTTTGTGGCTGTGACTGTCGGCTGGAATCAATCCAAGAAAATAGGTTACCGCTTAATATACATAACAAATATTACACGTAAGTAATATAGTAATAATAAATAAACAAAATTCACTTGTAGACAAATGTTAGGGTAATTCCTATTACTAGAGGTACTCGATAACGAACATTTTTAAAATGGTAAATGAGAAACTTATTTTTTTTTTGTCTTTGTTCTCAGACCACTTTTTATTTAATAGGTAGTGTTTTTAGAGACAGGTCTAAGATCGATAGCATTATTTACATTTATACAAATTATATAATTTTAGGCGTTCAAGAACATGTCGACTATTAATTGTCAGAGACAGGTAAAGAGTGGTTACTACCCCCCATTCTCTTTGGCCCTGCCTAGATCCTTTTAAATTATTATAATATATAATGCATTATATGTGAAATTATTTTTAGATTATACATTGATATTGAAGCGATGAAAACATGTCAGCGATTATCGGAGGAATAAATCAAATGATCAATTTCTCAGTCAAAATAAACGGTGTACTACTTACCTTCGTCATGACTCATGTATAACATATAATTTCAATAATGTAACAAAAATAGGACTACTCGGTACTCTATTAAACGTATGATGGTAAATATAGTTTTTTAATAAATTATATTAATATTAAACTAATAAAAAATTATTAGTTGAAAAAACCTTCGTGTCAGTTTACTTTAGAAATGTGCTTTGATGGGTTGTCTTTATATCGTTAACTGACGAACTCGTGAAACCCTGTAATTTTGCTGCCGGTAATTGACACAGAAATCAATCAGAATCAGTTGTTATAGACAAAATAATTTAAAAAACACTTTATTAAGTTTTTAAGTACCGATTTCATTTTAATATTAACTTAATTTATTATAATAATCTAAGACATAGTTTTAAACATTTTCAGTTAACATTTTTTATTTCAAAAACATTACACAGATTTTATTATGCAAACTTTGTTTTAGTAAAAAACCATTTGTACTCTTAGTAATACTTTTGAACACATTGAGTAAATTAAATGAACACACAAATTCAACTAAATGTTTAACTTCTATACATGTTTTGAATACATAAAAGAAAACTAGATAAAACAAACCTTTAATTTAGGCTATAACTATACTGCGAGAAACTTTCCCACATTGTTATAATTTTATTGCTATATAATAGTTAATTATTAATTAAAATGACATAACATATTTCAACTTATTAAATAATACTCTTTGTAATAACAGTATTTTATAACTAGCTATAATTAATCGATTACATACAAATAGTAGTATAAAAAAGGAGAAATAAAACATACTAACTATACTTATAACAATTATAATTAACTAAAATAAATTAAAAAAGGTTAAAACAAGAATATAAAGACTTTCATTCTTTTTAAAGGGTCATGCATACAAAAGTTCTGTACAAAAGGTCGGGTAGGTATATAAAAAAGATAAAATGATTTACCCGTTTGAAAACTTAATTAGATATTTTTTGTAGCTTATTCAGGTACTGCTTCTAGTAAATTCTCAAGTATCGTCGGAAGTCGCGACTTTCGTGATAGATACATATTAGTTTTAGTTTGAATTACTCGTTTATTTTCATTTAGTGGCCATGCCGTGCGACTTGTTTGTAAAGGAAATTGTTGTTTAATAAGATGCGGATAAGTCGTTCCTTGAGGCTGTTGGTGTGGGTGGTACATTTGTCCTGATGGATTGCAAATCATCTCAACTTGAGTGCTATGAGAAGATTGTTGACATTGCACTGGGGCTGGACCTAAAGCCACTAAACTCAACGGTCCAGAACCCCTTTTCAGAATACGTTTAGGTACAGGACCGGCTGATTCAGATTGTTTCTGTATTTTTTTGCCAATAATGGCCTCTACTATGCTGACGGCGGTTTGCTGTTGTTTTTGGGTACCTGTTATTTTTACTTTACGACGCCCGTAGCAATCGCTCTTGGAAACTCTCACGTTAGCGCCACTGACTTTTTGTATATTTATCAAGTTGACACCACGATAGCCGATCACCAAATCGGACATGATCGATTCGATTTCGAATGAAATTGACGTCGGTTGCATTTTATTAAAATTTGCACCCAAAAAACACTTGGGATAAAATCGAGAAAATTAATGTCTTTAAATTCGTAAAATAAATTGTTTTAAAATATAGTAAAATGTGTATAAATACTAGATACAAGCACAACTAAAAGAGTTTAAATATAAGCCAAACTTACGGCGCATGGGCTTACTTACGCGAAGCATACTTGGCTGTACTATATCGGTATAATTAGAACACTTGTTAGACCGCGGTAAGACCGAACACTTAATATTCTCATTGGTGTCGTTTCCATAGCAACAGCTGTCGGCATAGAAACGTCAAACGCAAGAGATAGCTGGTATTAAATACATCTTTTTGGGTCGTGGAAAGTTTATTAATTATAATATTATGAACTTTAAGGTGGGATTATAATATGGCGCAATTTAATTTATTTGGTACCAACACAACCGTGCAAAGGATGTCCATATTTCATATTGTAAACAAGGGACAACTTATTTACGTTACAACTTCACACACAAACACATTAAATATAATTATTAATTACTAGCCAATAGGTGTTGACCGCCGTTCGATTGTGCTGTTACCAACCTTGCTTGCATACCGCGTCGGTGTTTACGCATTGTACCAACCTGCAAACACTCTTAATTTTCTCCCCCAAGTTGTGACAAATGGCGCTCGGTTTATCCATAGATTATAAATGAAATAAGACACGCCAATGTAGGTACTATAAGGGGTCGCTGTCTTTTTTGGGAAAGAGAGAAAGATATGAAAATAATGCTGCATAAGAAATATAGTTGTAGTTAATACTGTTTTTGTATTGAGTTCAATTCAATAGCAAGGCCTGCAGTGTTTCTCAAATTTTTTAATCGTATTCTCAAAAACTGACCTCGTTTTTGAAACCCTTCACCCCTATTATTCCCCTGAATTCGACATTAGTTTAGAATTTTTTTTTTTAAAGACTAACTGATTAAACATATAATGGTTCAAGTTGGTTGAGTTTTATTTTTTAATACTTAATAAATTTGGAAACATTACTTACATTAATGTACAACTTACAAGTATATATTATACATTACCATTTAGTGTAACATTTATGCTTTTGTGTTAACCAATTTACCAAAAATTCCATCACAAAGTTCAAAAATTAGTTTAGATTTAGATTAGATAGGGTCGAACTGTCGATAGTTAGATGAGTAGGGTAGGTATTAGATAGGCATAAGGAAAAGCATTTTCTATGTTTTACATACTCCGTTCAAAGTGTGAAGAACTGGTTGCCGCTAAAAACTTTGGGTGGTCATCCGTCTGGTATAAAGCAGCGATAGATGCAGCTTTACTTCAGATGCCGAGTGTCATTTGAATGAACCTTTTTTTTAAATCTTTTATCAATGAGGAAGGAGAAAATTTTACTATTTCCCCCAATTAAATGTCACTAGGTTAGTATTAGGGTACACTAATGTATTAACAATTTAAACTTAATTTGCTTAGCAAATATTTTTAAAATGAAAGGTTTATTTGTTTAAATATGAGTAGCCTAAAACATTGATATCTGGCATGTTATTTATTATAGTCATTATGATAATATCGCTTTATTTTATTTTACAGTTTGAAATGGGCATAAATTTCTATGTGTTGAAGTTTGACTTTGGCAGTGGCATCATCTGATGTCCATCAACATATAACATACAACTATGAGGTGCCCTTGCACTGTTTGGCTGATCTAATAAATCCATTATCACTTTTAACATACATTGGTCATCTACTTGTCTAATATCATTTAACGCTGATGTCATTTTGCAAGCATGTCACAAGTCTATAAAGAAATAAAGGCTTCTTTGCAACAAAAGAAGATCATCAGTCAAACAGCAGAGTAGAACTATAGCCACCAGAACCATTACCAGAGTTGATACTTCCAGACGGTTCAATTAGAATTTGAAACCAAAATCAAGAAGAAAAAATCATAATTTTGTTGTTTAATTGTTTATTTTTGGATTCTTTTTTGTTTCAAATAGATGTTTTTATTATATAGTTGATTTTAATTTAATTTAATTTTTTCTAATTTATATTTTTTAAACAAAGCCATTAATACTAAATATATTGCTACTATATATAGTAAAAAAATGAAGGGCTATTTAAAAATGAATGGTTTCCAAAAAATTATATACGTACCTAAATTAAATAGAATCTTTAGCATGAACACAAAAAGTCTTAGGTGTTTTTTTGCAATCTGTACCTATAGTAATTACAATATTGTCCTAGTGTATAAAGGTAGTCTAGGGTGAAAAACATTAAATTCACACATGAAACAATATAATTTGATGACGTTTTAAATTCGTAGTATGTAGAATATATTATAGAAATAAGAAATCTGCATAAGGCAAACATTTTCTGTCGTAGTTCTTTTTAAGAACAATATATTAAGTGTGAATAACGAAAATGATTGCGTGAAAATTGGAAATATTACGATACAAATAAATAATGTTCTACTTCAAACATTTCTATAACATTTAATAATCAGTAAACTTATTATTTTTTATTTACTCTCGAAATACTCTAATAAATAATAATTACCAAAAAAACGTACCACTTTTAGTATTTAGAAATCTTACTTTTGGCCACCTTAAATGAATTACAGACCACTGTGCGATTCGAGTCAAATGGAAAAACTATCAGTTTTCGTTTTTTTAACATGTTATACCTAATACATACCTTGAAGCCTAAATTTTGAAATCTCAAATTTAGCTAGAAACTAAAATATTTAATAATATATAACTATAATATAACCGTTCGATAAATTAGCAGTAAAAGTGGGTTAAAGGTAAAATTATAATAACGGGAATATATTATTTAATATATGTATATAATACTATCATTATCTTTATGAATTGTGGTCGAGACTAAAATAATTATCCATTGTGAATTATTGAGCCACTTTTACATTAAAATTTAACCAAAATAATATTATTAATATTAATAATAATATTTGTACAAAAAGTTGGATAAACAAACTGCTTTAATGACACTAAATTTTCACTATTTGAGAATAAAATATAGAAGTACGATAAAGTCTATATATATTTAAATTTTCAATATATTATAACATATAGAGAGATTTGTAGAAACGAAATGTATTGTCAAACGGGCTCTTTTTGGACAAAAATGAATGTGGCGCAAATGTATATTGGAACAATTACAATTAGGACAAAACGTCCGTTGGCATAACTGTTTTGCACCAAAAAACAGTTGAAACAAATATATTATTAATGTTCGTTGGAACAAGCCATAATCATGGATAATAATGTCTTTGGAACAAATGTCTCTTGGAGTAAAAAATGCGTGGAACAAAAAGTAGTGATCCGTTTAGAATTTAGACTCTAATCTCTAGAATTTACAAATTGTACGTTGGTCGTTGATAGATTTGCGTTTAATTTATTTGTGAATATTGTATTTTTTATTTTGAGTTAATTTTCTAAATTTCATTAGGTAGGTTCAATAGGTATTATTATATTATTATCCGGATCATCGTTCTCCCTTTCGTGGGTTGTGTAATTTTTTCATTTTTTACCTTTGTACCATTTTATTATTTAGCTAATTTTTCGATAAAATATTACCTAAACTATGCGCCGTGCACGACCAACGGTTTTCTCGCTGCGTTAATACGTCGAATACTTGATGTCGAGCTCTTCTATCCTAAAAAGTTTGACACAGACTTCAGAAATGACAACAACACAAGGTTTGAATTGAAATGAATAAATGAAATTAAAAAAATATTCAATGTCTCACTAAATGGCTTGTTTCTTTACAAGATAACCAGTGACCATCTGTCAGAAGAGACTTTGCCACTGTTATTTACCAAAAAAAAAAAAAAAACTAGCTAATAATAAATAATTATCAAGTATAGAAATTCATAGGATTATTTTTGTATAAATCAAAAATGTATCGTATTTTTTTTTTTTATCAATCAGTATTCCACACCATCTATGAATGGCTGTTAATTTGACAGGTCCTATTAGGAAGTCATTACAACGGTCTCCTTTTCATAATAACTGCAGCCCGACAGTTTCAATTTTAGCGTATTATATTTTTTGGTGAACATTTTTTATATCTAACGCCTGAGGCGTAATTTTGTCATTAAATATAATAGTACAAACTGTTCTTAGTTTATACCTATCTGTTCCTAAAAAAGTTCCTACCAATTTTGATGATTATATTTATAATAATATTATAAAAATAATTATGTCTAAAAATATTTATAAATGGCCTAAACATTTTTTTATTGAAATCAACTCATATTATGTTTTTATTATCAACATTTATAGTCTTCAAATTGACAAAGTTTGTTGGTGGAAGGGTAACATACTATTTAGCTAGAATAAGACTAGAATATCCATTAGTTATCTGTAGATTTTAAAACCATAACATGTTTTTTTGTTTTACAGGTTTCCAGTCTCAAAAATCTTTATCCGACTTCAATATATATTTGGAAAAAATATTTTCAACGGATTCAGATGTCTTAAATGCTATTAAAGTAATTTTTCAGCCAATATTTAAAATTGTATTCTATTTAAATTGAACAATGTTGAGAACAAGTTATTATAAGTTTTTTAATTGATTTGTTTTGATTTTTTTCTAGAATTTAAATGTGACCATTAAATATTTGGATGATTTGTCTCAAATCAATATTTTGAATAAAAATGATGTTTTAATCACTGAAGTTTTTGAACAGTTGGCAGTTAAGAAACCATGTTTCAAGTAAACTTTAAATCTCAATTAATTATAACTTAAGGGGTCTGCACATAGCTATTAATTAAAATGCAAAGTAAAGTAAATTTTTAATCTCAGCGTCACTGCCTGAGATCTTTGTGTAAGTTGTGAATGTTATTAGTATGATAGTGTATAGATCTGTCACAGTAGTTAATGCAGTCATAAACAGTTGTTTATGAGTTTATTCTACTAGACCTGTTTCTACTGTTATTGTTGAATTATCTGCAGCATAAAAAAATTATATATTAATAAAATTATTTTAATCTATCTCTGATGATATTGTTCATTTTGAAAACTTGGTTAGTAGACGTTAAACATTGGGGGGAAAAGGGCCAAACTATAAAAAGTATATCAGCATCGGTATAAAGAAAGAAAAGGTGGGAAAAAGCATAGGTAAGTTCTAAATTATTTAATAAGTATATTGAGCTCATTGCCAGTATGATTTATTTATTATAATTTATTTGTTATCGTTTATAAATTGTTTAATAGCATTATCTAGCGTTGTTTCTATAACTAATAACTGTGTGACTGCTACCACTAACAATAAGTATGGAAACTCAATGACAATGCAGTCCACGGCAGAAGAAAAGTCTGAATTGGCCATGAAGCACGGATAATTCAATGACGATGGAATGCCCTTTATATTGGTAATAAAGGATGGTGCATAGTCGAAACAAGGCTAAACGATAAATTACAACGCTTTTTCCAGCGTAGTAAGTTAAATGTATACACCTTATAATTGATCAGTGTGACAGTATTATCCTTGTAGTGCTACATAGTTGGAGCAAGTATAAAAAATAATTTACCTATGAATCCAGGATAAGTCAATATGCAAAGAACTAGCCGTGAACAAGTGTTTTAAGAACTCGCAAGGAATTTCAACATCTTTGATCTGATACCATTCTGGAGGGTTTCGAGAGAAGTTTCAATGCATACCATGAGTTAGTACAGGTGAATATGCAATACAAAAAAAAAAACTTGTCGGGTCAGATTAGGTTTGTTGGTTTGTAGTTGTTATAGTTAACATTTTGACATTTTGGTTGCTACAAATTTTAAACAAATAAAATAAAGCAAAAAATTTTCAATTTCAAAATAACATAAAGTTCAAACGTCAATAAAAAAAATTAGCCTAACCAAAAATTATATAATTTTATATTGATAAATACTAAAAATTAGTTTATTTTTTAGATATGGATTAACAGAAACCATAGATCATTGGAAAAACTTGTCAAACCTTACGAAAAATCAAAAACAAAGATTTTTGAAAATGGATCTTTTTATGTACTTTGTTGTGATTAAAATTATGATCAGTAAGTATATTATACAGTAAAATGAATAACACTTTTATTTTAACTACATCTCGTTCATATCTAGATATTTTTGTTAAGCTGAAGCCCCTTTCTATACACTTATGTTCTTGAAATAGAATTTTGTGCAATCATATGTTGCCTATTGCAAAAAATAACTGCTGTAAAATACTTGGCATCTTTTCATGCGGGTTGCTTAATTTATAACTTGAATAATAATTATGTAGAGTCGTACAATAGAATATTTGCCAAATTTGTAGGTGACATAAGAGTAAACTATTCCCTGCTTGGTAAATAAAATATTAGTTTTAAAAATGATTTTTTATATTAATCATCAGTTACCGTTTTGCATTGTTAGGTTCATATAAGCAATGTATGACAGCTGTGCCATAGTTTAATTTAGGCCCAGACTACATTCAGGGGCTGCATAAATAAGCGACTAAGAAAAGTCCAGGAAAGTTTACTAAGCGGTATATTTCTACATTTTTAAGGTGGGGAAACTATTTAAGGAGTACACCAAAATCTAGACTCAATTTTGGGTAAAATAAAACAGTTTATTATTTCTATATATATATATAATTTTAAATTGAATATAATAATAAAATTAAAATATTCTTTTTTAGAGCATAGAGTAAACAATTTGCTGGGCACGAAACTGACAATGACGATTTTTGCAATGAGTTAGGTTGCGATGAATTTCAGCTTTCGGCCGAGGATTGGTCGGATAACTCATATTCTTATTACTAAAAACCAAGGAAAACAAGCAAGTGTAAAACTGTGAAAATTGAACACGTTCAATTATATAGTTTACAAATAGTATAGAAAATCAAAGTCTGATGCACTGTAGGAAATCTTGCCCTATCCAAAAATAAAAAATTGTATATATTGTAATTAACTACTCTACGAGGTGTGAGGGTTTTTTTCTGATGAACTTATACAAGCAGGCGCGCGCAGGCCTCTTAATTAGTATTTTTACTCAAATATTCATGCTAATAATGTTAATTTTACGTTTTGTTTGCATAGAGTACTGGGACGACCAGCGTTATTGGAACTCGCATCTAGACCTACAGGTTTAAAGGGCGTTAATCGGTATCGTTATTGCAATGCTTTAGTGGGATCTATTGTCAGCATAACTGGAATTAAAAAAAGAGATGAAATGGTAATTATTATTCCGTTATTATTACTTTGTGGTGTTTGTCGTCCTTATCATTTTTACATATATACTTTGTTCCCAGGCTCGTTTGTTGTGTTTAATCCGCTGGATGGGTGGTAGTTTTCGAGAAAATATTAACCACAAAACCACTTTTTTGGTCTCTGATTACGCGTGTAGTGATAAATCACAGTATGCATTTTTACATGAAATTCCAGTTGTCAATACGACTTGGCTTTACGAAGCTTGGAAGAGACGCAATGAGATGGGATTTTCAGCAGCTGACTTATCGTTTGTGTGTATATTTGTGTCGTGTTTTATTTGCCGTTAAAATTTCATTGTAAAAACGAGTTGCTTATGCGTTATTTCCTAGGCGTCTGAACACAAATTAAAACCTTTCCATGGAGCTAAAATAGGTTTTATAGGATTCACAGAAGAAGAAAGAACACATATGGTTGATGTTTTGCAGCAAAACGGAGGTACTCCAGTTGATAAAAATGATGCATGGTGTACCCATTTGGTATGACTATTTTTGTATTACGATAAATTGCATGTAAAACCGTAACCAGTATATAGTGATTTATCAGTTTGATTGAATAATTTACCTTTATAAATTCTTTTTGTACTATAGTTTGTTTTAAAAACACTTAAGACCCTGCCATCGATATACAGTACATGAAACAAACTTGAGCTTTGAAATATAATTTTCATTAATCGCAGGTTTAAGTTTCTTATATGGGATCTAATTTGGGACTAACAATAATTGTTACCTCTCTTAACGCTTTTGTTTGTTAAACTAACCCTATATGTTTGTCGGTGTTACATGTTTTGTGTATTTTTTTGCATGCCAGGTCACAAAAGATGTCTATTCTTGTGTTTCTTATACATATGGTGAATGGAATCCAAAAACTGCATCGTGCTTACAAGGTGTTCTGTCTCCTAAAAACTTGATAGAAATATTGGAAAAGGACCGCATGCAACCCAAGAGTCCTTATGGTAGAAATAGGGGGTTATCGTTGACGCTTAATCTAACTAATGGAAATGAATTGCTAGAAAACGAAGAGAAATGTCTTGTGGACCAAGAAAACAACATGCATCGTAGTAATCCTCTATCGACGTGTGTAAAACAAACTGATCTTAATGTGGTACTAATGGTTTGCTTTTGAAATATATTTTATCTCGTGTAAAAGATGCGCTAATCAAGAACCATTTTAATGTTCTTACAGTTTTAGTGCAGTCAATATTATATAATACAATAATTTTTACTTCTTTATGTATTTTAATTGTTATATTAATTATTTTATACGACTTATTAAAATTAAACAAAATAACTAAAATACTTAGTGTAAAAAAAGGTAATTTTAGTGTGTCCCAATAGTGATAGTTGTGCTGGTTAAAACGAGTAAGAGTCATTAAAGGTAGACCAATGAAGTGTGTGCTATTATTTACACTTATGTTAATTAATGTGAAAGTATTTATTATATTAATGTATTCTTTATTTGTAGGTTGTAAATGATTCGCTAAAAGATTATACTCCGTTGATAAAAAAGAACCATGCTGAAGTAGTGAAAGAAGCTTGGTTTTGGACATCAGTTCAATATCAGAGTTGTGCTTTGATTAGAGAGTATTATTTAACTAATGTAAGTACTTTAGTAACTTGAATGACATAATTTAATGCATTACTTCTCGTGCTAGAATGATAACTAGATCACATTGATAAAAAATGTCCTATAAAACGTTTAAAAAACTACAATTGTGTTTTTTTCTTCGTATATGTACTGTACGATAAACGTTTAATTACCGAGAAAGTTGTAGAGAGGCTGATATAATTTCTTCCCTAAAAAATAATAGTTTAGGCCTGTTAAAGCGAAAATATACATTTTTAATGAAGAGAGGAAGAGTCTATAGAACATGTTTGGACGTATGTTATGATTAAGTCGTAGTTTGAATTAAGCAATGACTAGGTATTTGATGATTTCAAGTCTAAAGAACTTCTGAAGGAAAATTGATAGACTTATTTAAGTTATAACATTATATTTTTATATGAACAAACTTATTGACATACTTTTATTCTCATTAGATCATTGTTTATAATTTCTTTTGACCAAGAGTCAAAATGTAATTTGACTTTAATTAAATGAAGTAAATAAATATCAAAAATAACTTACTATGAAAAAAAATATCATCAACTTAACAGGCCTTTAAAACCAACGCTGTGATCATGAGATGGTTTCTAAACGAATTCGCTGTCTGGGACAGGTCGTCATTCATCGCCTGATAGGTTAATTTTTTTGTTAACTTAATTTACTTACAACAAATTGCAATAAATCAATGTGGTCAGGGGGTACAGCAGGGTTATTTTTTTATTTTGCTAACAATATTTGCATACAAATTTAGTCGAATGTGTTTAATACATCAACGTCTGCTTTGTCTTCTACGTTTACAATGAACTCATCAACCCGACCACGGAAGAGGAAAAGACAAACAGACAGCATGGGTGAGCTGCAGAAATTAAATCAGACGGCAAATGGTGCAAAGACTTCTTCGATTAGCTGTTCTGATTTATCGAACCAACATTTTTCAATCGTTGAGGATTCAACCAAGTCTCCAACATTTTTAAATGTTAATAAGAGCCCTGACCCATCTACTTTCACCTGTACCAATGGTTTGTGTCAAGAATAATAAGTGTCTATTTCTAATCAAACATTATTATTGTTATTAATATTTTGTTTTAGATCCCAGTATAACTATTTTAAAGGACAAACCATTCAGTCCTCGATATCAAGTTTTCTCTGAACTATTGCAAACCGAAACAAACTACGTTGGGATTTTAAATACAATTATTTCTGTTAGTATAGAATAATGATATAACTTATTTTTTTCATCAATTGATTATGTTAATAAATATTTTTTCAGGTGTACCAAAAACCTTTAGAAGAAATGAATGGGAAAAAAGGTTGTAGTCTACTCGATAACACCGAAATCAAAATTATTTTTGGAAATGTATTACCAATTCATGAAATTCATTGTAAAATGCTGAAAAAGTTCAAGTACCTTGCAGAAACGTGGGAAGAGGATAGTAGCATAGGCAGTGTCCTGCTTAATTATGTAAGTTCTAATGTCTAATATTTATTTATAACAATTTGATTGTATTTTGTTGGCTTTTTTTACAGTCCAATGACTTGATTAAAGCTTATCCTCCGTTTGTGAACTATTTTGAGAAAACACGAGAGATGCTCTTGCAGTGTGATCAAATGAAACCTCGTTTCCACGCTTTTTTAAAAGTTGGTCAAACCAAACCAGAATGTTGTCGGCAAAGTCTTCTAGATCTTCTCATTCGACCTATTCAAAGACTGCCTTCGATTAGTCTTCTCTTAAATGGTAAGGTCTGTGTTTAAATAAGTTGGTGAAACATTTAAAGTATGTCATTTTGAACTTTTTTTATTTTAGTCTTTAGCAGTGAGATTAAGTTTTATATAATAATAATCATTACATAAAAATGTGATTGTTTAGATATATTAAAGCATACGGATAGAAATAACCCTGATCATAAAGCTCTTGAATTGGCTCTTCTAAGCATAACAGAAGTAATGACACACATTAACGAAGACAAAAGAAGGGCTGAAGGTCAAATTGTTCTGTTTGATATCTTTAATGAGATTGATAATTGTCCCGTAAGTATAATTTAATTTGAATAGTTGTGCACACATCAACAGCGATATAGCAAAAATGCAGGGTATAAGCGACATGATTTTCTATCAATACAATAATTTGTTGATAGTATAACTACATTAACATTAGTAATTTTTTATACATATTTTTAAATAACATGTAATTTTTACATGTAAAAACATAATATAATGAAACCTAATAATGTTACTAAGTTATGTGCGATAGAGACAGAGCTAAATTGGGCATATGGTGTTTTAATCCTATCATTTTACCCAAACTAGCTCATCTCCCTCCCATATCATGTGTAATGTGTTGATTTATCTTTATATATTGTCTATCGCTGATATGCGCGGTCCATATTTTTATCAAATCTATGGTTTAAATTGTATAAATGTCGGTTATGCCTGTTTGCAAGTATCATCATCGATATTAATTTAATTTAATTTAAATAATTTAATAGGCTCATTTGATTTCTTCGCATCGAAGTTTTATTACAAAATGTGATGTAGTAGAACTCGGGGACAATTTAAGTGGACGCGGTGATAGTATAACCATATTTCTGTTTTCGGATATGATTGAGGTATAATATTTTCAAAATTAACATAACACTGGATATGAAAAAAAAAATTTTAACTTAGATATTTCGCGTTGTAGTTTAGCAAAAAGAGAAGATTCTTTGATATGAAAAGTCCTAAAGAACTGAATTCGAGCTTACACAAAATCAACGGTACTAAATTATACAAACACATTAATTTGATACCACTAAACTCCATCAAACAAGTCATCGATATAAAAGAAACTGATGGTAAAAAAAAAATTATCAATAATATAAGTTAGTGTGGTAATTTTGTAATAATTCTAACAGCAGAGTTGGGCAAAATTAGAATAATTATGAATGTGTTGAAGCTTTTTCACGGGTTGAAATACCACGTGGATGACTTTCAGATATATCCTTGTCGGTAATTGTTAGCCAAAATGAACACTGATATATCTGAAAGTCATCCACGTAGTTAGAATAATTTCTTATTTAGATAAGGCGATAAATAACATTTTTCTAAAAATTATTTAGTAATCAATAATTTGTTACTCGTTATTTTGTTTCAAATTATTCACGAATAATTGTATTTGAATACATTAATGAACAGTAAATACAAATTTGAAATATTCAAGATACCTTATAACAGATAATCTATAATAAAAAAACATTGTAATGTCGATTAGTGTAAGTTGCTAGTTTTTCTTATTAAAAAAAGTTTCATCGCCATTTTTTAAGAAAACTATGTATGTAACTCATTCGACTCAAAAAGTAATAGGCAATAGCACACCGTAATTTTTAAATAGAAAATGATGTAAAAAATTTGGGTGTTTTCCTCGATTTTAAACGGGTAAACTTTAAAAAAAAATTTGTTCTTTTAAAGTAGCTTTTAGGTAAGATTTCTGATCTATAGAGTTGTTACATGAGAAACAAAACACAAATAAAACATATCATTATAAAAATATTACCTTATCAGCTACGCATCAAAGCTAAAATAAATAGATTAGGTTTGAACGGGGCTTACTGTATTTATTATTTGTTTTAGAACATAAAACTATACATTTAGAATTAATAGTTAAATTTTGATCTGTTTTGATTGATTTAGATTGTCATGATGCGTTTTCATTATTGATTATCGATAAAAATGATTTTCAAGAATACTTGTATACGTTTACTCTTACTGGGAACGGTAACAAAAAAACGTTTTTAGACAATTTGTCTGAGCAAGTGGTCAACACCAATTGTTCGGTATGTCTTTAAATATCACATAATATTAGTTATAACATAATGCAAGTACTGCCGTAAAAGTAATATTCATACTATCGTTTATTCAAGGGTAATATTTTGATTTCTTTGGATTGTAAACAACTGGATATTGATACAAGTGCGATTTCGACGACGGGTACACTGAGAAAAGCGTTCAGGTAAAAATACACAGTTCATATTACAATATTAATTTTTACTGGTGAAAATGGTTTATTTTAAATTCCAGATTTGCAAACAAAACTCGAATGAGATTTGGTCGGGCGCTTAGTATTAATAAGACGCCCAATAAGCTTAAACAAACCGTGTCGACAATGATAAGTCCTATGATGAACTTGACGAATAACGAGATTGGTGCAAAGAAGTCATTAACGCCCTCTACACTATTGTCCAACCTGGACTTGACATCTTGCAATAACCTCAGCTTTAGTTTTTTGAATGAACACAATGCCAAAAGTAATTCACTAAATAAAATTAAAAAAACTGTCAAACGTAATTCAATGTCGCACACTGCTCGTTAGCTTTATGCAGTTTCACTTCAATATGATTATTACACATGTTTTCAGACTATTTTCTTTTCTTCCTTCATTTTTTGTGTTACTTTAATAAGTGCTCTTTTTACTACATAGATAAATAATAAAATGTTAAAAACAATTTTTCTTTTATATTTTATATTTGATATAATAAGATATTTTTAAACATTTTTCAATAAATTCTTGTTTTGTTATTTCCATGTCATTTTACTTAATCGTTCTAAATATTTTTAGTTATTAAGTCTTAAGTACTTTATGATGTACTACATATTTCTTTTTCTATTGTTCATTGCTTATTATTTCAATTGTAAATGCAGTATTGATTTAAAGTTACCTTACTATAAAAAAAAATACCTATAAAATTATATATTATAATATATAAATACTTGTAAATGCTTAATTATTAAAACTACTAAAAGGCACCAAAGTGTAAAATATGTAATAGCTACATAAAGCTATGTTATATATATATATCTTTAAGTCAGTGCTAGTATTGCCTCCAAATACCATAATATGTTGTATTATTCATCGTTCAACGGTATATTATTTTGGTTAAAAAAAATTTAAGTATTTACTTTTTAATATTAAAACATATGATCAACTGATTTGTATAAGAGATAAGTGTATAATATGTAAATATATTGTAAGTAACCTAATCAAAGTTAATACAAATTGTGAAAATCTTAAACATCAAATTACAAAATGTAGAAATTTTACTCAACAAATACTCAATTACGTTACTTTGCTCAAATCATATCTTTAAAAAAAAAAACAGTCGGTTATCCATTGATCTATTTATTTTGTGAAGTATTAATATTTTATTTGTCTAGTTGAAATTTATTTGATTTTATTATTACTATTATTATTAATAAAGTTATATTAGCAATCTACAGTTTTTTTTATAAATTAAATAAATATATACACTTTGATGATAAACAATTTTTTTTTATAATCTTAAAGTTATTGTTATGTTTCGTTTGTCATTAAGTAAAGAGCACTAACACACTTTTGGGAGAATTTTTCAGTACATCTTACGGTATACTTTCTATAACTATTCATCATATTTTAACAAAATGAAACTGACATTATAATATGCTAACAGTCGATTTCAAATTATTTTTCTTTCTTATATATTAATTGTTAGACTTTGACGAATTACTGACAGTACATATTTAACAGACATATTTTTTTTTGGTAAGAAAAACTTACCTCAATAGTAAAGAACTGGTCTGCATTGTACGAAGCAGTTATATATTATGTCATACTTGTATAAAATCAAATTTCCTTAAGTTTAAATGCATTTAATGATCTGTTTACCACAATTTACCTAACTACTTGGAAAAGGCTATTTATACTGGGCTGTATAATTAAAAAAAAACTATATTTGATCGACTTGGTTATTCTATTTAAAATACATAAAGTATTTTCTCATTTAAATTAAAGCATTTAGAATAAGTATTATATTATCTTATTCTTAGCAACAATTTTTTGTACATCCAATATCCCAAATTTGTAAAATCTATTACAAAATCATAGGCGGTCCCCTCCCTGAATTTGCACCTGCGGGCACCTTTGAGAACGTCTATTATTTTAATCTCTACATATGGTATAACTTTATAAAAAAAACATAAATCAATATTTTTTTTTATTTTTGAATGCTTTGAATTTCGCTTTTGATATTATAGCTCAAATCATACTTTTTATTTTATTCATGGTATGTTGTATGTCATGATTTAGGAATCTCTATTTTATGTAGTCTTATTTCTTTGGGTGACTGGGGGCCTTATATCAATAATATTTCAGTGAAAAATATTCAATAATGTCGTTGAGTGTAACTTTAATTAGATCATTAAGTTTTAAAGAATTTCGTGGGCCAAACCCTTCTATTTGAACAACCGTATGTATTAATGTTTTTTTCTTTGAAATCATAAAAATTAAAATTATATAAATCAGTGGCAGAACTTGAGACTTAAGGCAAGACATTTTTTCGCGCCCTATATTACATGTTAACGTGTACAGTAAACCCTACTGCCGCATGGGGTGTCTTAATTGGTAACGGGCGTGACAAGCCTGCGGACCCCACTCCCCAGCCATTGGCGTAGGAAAAACGGTGTCCCCATGACCCTACCGCCCAATGTACCAATGGTACATTGCAATAACCCTATTATGGCCTTAACTGGTTGGGGTGATCTAGTCCTCCAGATTGGGGTTTAAGCGCAGGGCTAACATCTCTGCCTTGTAAAAAAAATATTTGTTCAAGATTCATATTTCGTACGACAACTCTTGGACTAGTCTTCTTAGTGGCCGATTTACCTATGAAGATGAAGTAAACGCTCTAAATTAGAATACGCCCTGGAGTAGCCCCCCTTTCCCGTACCCACGGTAGCTACGATTTATACGTTTATTTTATAAAATAAAAAATTATTTAGACTACACAAGTGCAACAAAAACAGAATTGATTAGTTTACAATATTTTTCAATAATAATTTCCACGGAAATCGTGTTCGTCGCGTTAGCAATGATTTCAATATAGCACACTTTACTAAAATTATATTCATTTGTCATCATTTTACCGGACGCTCAGACCGTTGAGTAATCGGTAACGCTGTCGTAAAATTTATATCGTTTGACTATTATAATATAACATAAAAGGCGGTTCCCCTTTGTACGGTTTGCTACCGTTGGGACAAAGTGGTTCGTTTGTGGATTATTAGAACAGCACGATCTGGCAACGTCGCAGCCGCCTAACAAACGGCAACAGGCAGGGGGAGTTTTTTCATAATCAATACGATATGACCTGCAGCCTCCAGAGCCTTTGAAGGGATCCACCTATGGCGGGGCCGGGCCGGGTGGAGATCGCCAAGCGACAGTGTTCGACGGTTGCCAAAGGCGTGCACACATCGGTTGACTGCGGAACTACTTTGGTAAGCATACTTTTTTTTATTCGTTATAGAAAGCTAAGTACGCGACTCAAAGGCCTTTCGACCGTCGCCCGTTTATTCTATATAGGCGCGAAAACGATGGTATTTTTTTCTTTCTCTTATTAAAACCGTTTTTTGTTTAAATACAAGCCGACCAAACGCGATAATAATAATTGTGACCATCAATATTATTATAATATCAACTTGACATACCTAACATAAAAAAAAAAGGGACTTGTTGGTTTCGTTGCTACGAGGGTCTGAAAAGCGATGATAAATAGAATTGGTATAGGCACGGTTAGGTATGTAAGGTATTGAGTATATATATATATTGTATAATACAATATACTCAATGGTATTTAGCTCAAGCGGCCGTTGAACATCTCATCGATGTTAACAAATAAAGCGCGAACGGTACATATTTTCCAGTGCCAATGTTTTCGGATGATATAAATACCGTAAAATAAATTCTAAATTCTATTCGATTTTTATTGGTGTGCGCACTGTCAAGTATATACATTTTGCGCGTCATTCTTAAGGCTAAACGACCGCTCTGTATTACTATAGGTATGGGTTATGTATATGCCATAAGAAGCAATGAAATGACAGGAGGATGCGCAGTACCCTCAGATCAATAGTCCGGAAAACCTCCAAACACCGTCGTCGACAATGGCGACATAACATAGAGGGAGGGTGGGCTGGCAGGGCCGTAGCAAGGGGGGGAGGGAGAGGTGTAAGGTGCCCACGCCCCGGGCACAAAAATAAGGAAATAATGTGAGGGGACGAGCCTTTGTACCTTAACGTCTTTTTTTAATTTCTTCTCGGCAAATTCCTGTTAGCACGTCGTTTGCTGTGCCCAGGTAGCTGATTTCGATGATTTTCAAATAAACGGGCCTCGTAGACTCCCTGACAATTGCCTCTGCTCTCACTCTGAGTTTTGATGCCGCCTTGGCATTGCAGTTACAGAAACGCCGAGGGTACCCAGGTCTATATTAGACGTGAATTTCTTGGCCATTTCTGCGTACGACGTCCTTTCTTTGTCAGATAGATCACTTGTTCCCACGGGACTAGCTTGCGCCCTGCTGGCTTTCCATTTAGAATGTCTTTATCTCCCTTTTTCTTTTTGGGTTTTCTCTTCTTCCTTTTGGAGTTTTGCTCTATATAGGCGCGAAAACGGTGGTATTTTTGCTTTCTATTATTAAAACCGTTTTTTGTTTAAATACAAGCCGACCAAACGCGATAATAATAATTGCGACCATCAATATTATTATAATATCAACTTGACATACCTAGCACAAAAAATAATGGCTTGTTGGTTTCGTTGCTAAAAAGGTCAGAAAAACGATAATAAATAGAATTGGTATAGGTACGTTTAATTACGGTTAGGTATGTTAGGTATTGAGTATACATATATATTGTATAATATATACTCAATGGTACTTAGCTCAAGCTGTCGTTGTACATAAAAAAATCTTAAATGGGATATTCCTCATTATGTGTTAAAAAAAATTGTGGTTTCAAGGAACTAAATACAAAATATTTCGATTTTTATTGGTGGGCGCACTGTCAAGTGTAAACCTTTTGCGCGTCATTCTTCAGGCTAAACGACCGCTCTGTATTACTATATGGGTTATGTATATGGCATAAGCAGCAATGAGATGACACGAGGATGCGCAGTACCCTCAGATCACTAGTCCAGAAAACCTCCCAACACCGTCGTCGACAATGGCGACATAACATCATGGAGGGAGGGGACTGGCAGGACCGTAGCAAGAGGGGGAGGGAGGGGTGAAAGGTGCCCACGCCCCAGGCGTAAAAATGAAAAAAGAATGTGATGGGACGAGCCTTCGTACTTTAACGTCAAAATTGTCAGCAAATTATTGTTAATTTAAAAAGTTAAAAATATATATACGTTACCGTTCAAGTTTCAGGAGTGATAAAGCTCTAGAAAATACTAACAAAGATAAAATTGTAAATATTATCTCTTACAGTAATATAGTATAATCAACATTTTTTTTAAAAAAAGAAACAACAAAATTGCAATTATTTTAAGAGTTAACTAGTGTAGGGCGTAAAAAGAATCACCTGGTATGTATATTTATAGAATATATCCAGTTTATAAGACGTACCCAGGTCGTGGCTTTTTCCTAGACCTATTTAAACAATTTTTACATTCATTTATACATTTAGTGTTACTTTCTTTTTTTTTCTCTTACTAATTATTATTAATTAAGGCTTCTACTGCACCACGTATGTGACATATTCGATGAACACTGTTATACATTATAATATAGTTTAACCAACTTCGCGCCCCCGCGCCGAGAATAAAGCATAAATAACAATTATTTGTACCGTGTAAGCTAGTAAAATGCTATTGTTAATGTACGGAAGGCAGACTACCAGTTGTAGTGTAACACGATTTAATCAATTATTTTATTTTCAGATAATAATTTGTGAGTGCTTAGTCAAGTCAAATGAAACTCGTTTGGGGCAAGGATGATGTTGCAACGTCGTGCACTGAACAACCGACGACAACCGACTCTGACAATGTGCAAAAGTATGTTTATTGTAAAAGCCATTCGTGAAATTCGTGCGGGTAATACGAGATGTGAATATAAATGTATTATGTTTTTTTTAGCGCCATTGTTGAGAATAAGGAGGATGCGTTGAACGTGAACGAGAACAAGGTCGTCTTAAAATATAAAAAGATGTATAAAGAAAGTATTACACTACGCCGACTCAGCGACAACGAAGACGCTGTGACAACCGGTAACACAGATAAGCGTGTTAAAAAGAAAAAGAGTGAAAGTCAAAGAAAAAAGCGTTGTCTTAGGAGAAGACAGCTGAAAAAAATGAAAAAATTGAGTGAACACGAAAAAAAAAAGCAGAACCTTAAGACAAGAAAGCAGAAAAAGCGAAGGAAACTTGAAAGACGCTCGGAAATGAACACGGCAAACAATTCTTCTGACTCTGCACCCGATGGCACCAACGATCATGTTGAAAATATTTTGGAAACCGGAAACCACACTCAAGCACCGAACGGACGTGACTCGGACTCGGAATCAGAATCAAACAATCTACAGCAGCAGGTTCCAAGTTCAACTGTTGACGATCATAGAGAGGACGTTGATACAACCCGGGCTGGCTGGCTAGCCTCTAGCGCCTCGATTTCCGACTTTTCAGAAGACGAATCCGGTCGGTCTAGTGAAGATAGATCGTATTCCAGTGCCGACGAAGGACTCCCGCCTCCACCTCACGTGAAGTATAGGGATATCATGGAAGTTCCAGCGGAAATGGACGAATATAATGGGGTTTCCTCGACTGTACCGATGGTAGCCGTACAGCCACCGTCGTCTCCGCCGCCGCCGCCAAACCCACCGCCACGGACAATGAAGCTGAAAAAAAAATTACTAGTGAAAGTTACTGCACTCAAGCGTGTACTCAAGACGACCGTTCGTCAGTATGCGCACGTGTATGCGCCAAACCCCATAACCGAACAGCTGGCTTTACTGCTGAAGGCCGGCGACATGCTGCACCACATTTACCAGTACTGGGACACTCGCCAAGTAGCGGATATCCGAGATTTTGTGCGGTGGTTAATTTATAGCCTGAACGACTCGCCCCGGAACATTGTGCCCCTTATCGGGTGCCTGATGACCTTGTTCCGTCGGACTTGCCCGACGGCCGGAATGACCGCCATGGAAACGTACGGGCAATTTAAAATATTCATCAACGCCATCAAAGAATGCGTCCGAGAGGTAAACGTGCAGTTCTACAGGACATGGATGACTCCCGAAAGCTTCCTGTTCGCGTGCTTCTTTATAGACCACGAGTTGTTCCGGGACACACATCCCGACTATACATTCATGAGCCACCGGATCAACTGGTCAAGGGTGACGGCTTTCAAGTGGTATTTGAAAATACCGCCGTTCCGCGTACCCCAGCCAACACGCCGGAGCGACGATACCGCGTACCAGCCCAGCCGTATGATCGTGAACAGGGGCATTCAGGTGTCATTGTTAAATTTAGCTAATTTAGTACATCAGCCATCAGGTGATTATTTTTATCTATAAGGTTATGCTTAAATTAAAGGCTTAGCTGAAGTCAATAATAGCTATTTAAAAGTAGACAATATCAATAGAAATGTTCTCAACCGGTCATGACCATGTGCGCAAACGGGTTGCAAGTATTATTTCTATTGTGTTAGCAAACGAGTTCTGTCGTTTCAGATAAAAATAATAGATTGACCGTAAACTATATAGTTGGAGACCACGTTGCTCTCTCTAAATGATTACTAGTCAATTTAGGTGGATAGTTATGGGGTGTTCATTTAGTAATTTTACTACTGTAAAATTATATAAATAAAAAACGTTTGAACTACTCTTAAAACGTGAGGGTAAAACATTTGTGTAATGATTCTTTGTCGACACTAGGAATTGTTGTACTATAAATTCTGTGTAATAAAATTAATTTTGTTTTATTTTTTAGATGAAGCGCAGTGAAGATTTGAAGGAGACTTCTTTTTAAAAACAATTTGGCATTTGTCGACCTTACCTTTTAGACGAAATTAATGAAATGTTAAAACCATTTATTAGCCAGTAGTAAACTTTTAGTAATATGTAGTAAACTTTATTAGATATTAGACTTAAGATAGATTCTAGACGTGCTTGTTAAAACATATTTATACACTAAATAATAGGGTTGGAAAATAGCTAGTTTTAATATTTAATAATACATGAAATACTCTTAGTAATGTGTGTAAACTATAATATTATATTCATCTTCTAATCACTTATTATTAGCCCAGTTTTATTAATGAGTATAGTTTTAGTATTAGCTATTATAAATATTAAATATTGCACAGATTCTTTTAAAATAAAATAACCTTTACCAATTAATACAATTTAACTTTAACAACAGAAGATAATTAATATTTGTATTTTTATTGTGTGATAAATACCTACATATTATGTAAAGATGTTTCATTAAGTATATTTTGTAATATATGTTTACAAAAAATATACTCAATGGATCTATCTATAGTAGTCTATAGTCTATCTTAATGAAAAAGTTTTCAATTGATGTAGGTACTTTTAACTATTATATGGCATTTAACATTTATCTTTGTATACATTTAATTATAAACAAAATAAATAAACTTTAATTCATAATATAAATATTGTGTTTGAATTATTTCACGTTTGGTTTATGACTCTAATCCACATATCTAAATTGTTGCTTGGTTAAATTTCATCAAATGTTTCAATCTAAAATCCGATAAAATAAAATTTAATAAATTCTGACAAACATTGGAATAAGCTAAACAAAATTTCATACAAAATATTAACACGTTAACTTAAAATAATATACACAGTAGGTTATACACCTAACCTCCTAATTTTACCATAAGAAAAAAAATATTTTTGCGAGTGTGCTACATTCTCCTTGTTTACCATACTTGATATTTGTTCATTTCTCATTCGGTTATATTATTTTTATATATATTCAAGTACGTACGGTGTACAGATCAAAAATAATAACAATTTATTATAGTAAAACATAATTTTCTGCACAGCTGTTCTTGTGTGAAAACAAAAATTATTGTATGTATAATAATACATAAATACTTTAAATATAATAACAACATTACTAACGAACAATTTATATTGATTCTTAATTATTCTTATATTTATATATTTAAAAAAAACATATACCCATTCAAATTCTTGTTTTAGATTTAGATAAGAAAATTAGATTGTTAGCTCGGTTAGTTTAAATGTACTGAATAGTTTCTTGAAATTGTATAGTAAGTTTACAATTTATTACTAAGTATAGTTATTTTTCAAACCGTTCATTTGATTGAATATTAGAGAATTGTTCACATAGATGTAGTAATTATATATGTTGCCTCACAGCATACAGTAACTAGAATATAAAAAACAAAAATCGGTAAAATTTAATATCTTTATGATTCTATAATAACATTATCTATACATATATATATATATATATATATTTATATATAATGTAAAACAGCCTAGACGGGGTATGCTAAAGCTTTACAGCATGGAGTACTGACTTTTTTTTTTATCTTATTCTGATCTGCTATAAATGTTCCTGCTATTATAGAAATAATAAAAAGTATGTAGTATCTAAATAAATGGATGAAAGTAAATTATTACTAATATTATTATTTAGACAAAACTTAAAGATCTATTATATCAATTTAACGAAACAATTAATTTAGTATATTACATTAATCTCTTTATTATTTTAATAAAGAGATTTTTTATAAAACCTCATTTTTATTAAGAGGCATATCTTGTCAAGATACACGTAATTATAATGTATAATTTGGTATGTTTCTATTTGTTCATACCTAATTAATTATTTAGTATCAAAATTGTATTGTTTATTTTGAAGAGTGAATTAATTAAATGTAAATCAACCAAATTATTGATTTTTTTTTAAAAAGTATAAATAGGTATGTTTGTTTTTTATTACTCAAAATTTCTACATTTTTATTGTTGAATAACTGTTAATAAAGCAGTATTTAAAAAAAACACTACTGTTTTTTATAATTTAAATGCAAACCTAATTTTAGTTTATTATGTTGTTTAATTATTTTTAATTAATAGAAAGCTATTAAATATAATTAGTACACATAGTACACAAAGTGGAGGTAAAAATTTAAAAGTGGCTGTGCAATATAATATTTAAGTAGGTAGTTGATTTATATTCTGTTTTAATTAGAATGTAACTAATTTTTAAATTTCCATCTATTTTTAAGTGTTAGAGTTATAAACAATCATGTATATTATTTCTACCTATTATAACCTTTTTTTTTATAATATTTATTTGGCGCCGGAGTAAAAAAAGTTTAAGTCGTGTTCTCAAAAAAAATTATAAACCTTCTACCCAACTTATCACGACCTCTCATTTATAAAAAAAAAATCATTTACCTATTCAAATTCCTGTTTTACTTTTAGATAGAAAAATTAGATTGTTAACTCGGTAAATTCCAATGTACTGATTAGTTTCTTGAAATTGTATAGGAACTTGATTTATCACCATATATTATTTATTATAAGCGGTATTTTTATAAAAAAAACATCTTTTGAATTGTCTTAAAATAAATTAGAAATAAGTAAACTCTAAAAATGAATATCTGGAAAAAACACTTTAACCTGCCTGCAATGTCTTTAAAATGTAAGAAGATTCCATAGCTTTCTTCTTTTTGTACAAGAATGGATTTTATTTCTGTTAAAATCAGTATAATAGATTTTAAAATCTTAAGTTTATGTAAAAATTAAATTAGAATGATCATAATATAATGATCATCAAGTGAATCGCTAGTCAATAGTACCTGAAAAATAGTTGCATAATGTTGTCAATACATAATACACGGGGAACAATGGCAACAAGCTATTGTAGACAACGACCACGGACCAGCCTTAACCTTATCCACCCTTATACTAAAAAACGTTTTTTAGCCAATTAGGTATTGTCTTTAAAATAATTTTTATCAATACTAAAATTTGTACTATTAACAAATTCGCATCGATGATCGAAATGTTTTATTTGGAAACAATTTCATTACTTCGTTTAAGTTGCAAATGTTTAATGGTTTAAGTAGGATTGCTTTGGAACGCCTTAAATGTAATTTTGCGGTGTCAATATGTATTACTTAAGGAAGAGTCGAAATATAAATACCTAAGCAATTTTCGTGTTAAAGGGATAAAAAACTTTAAAAGGAGCAAATCAGACTATCAGAGATTTTATGACTTATGCCGTTTGCGTTTTGAAAATTGACATATGTTTTAAAACCTGAATATTATTAAGACCATAAAAGATAGACCTAATTCAAATGATGAGACTGAGAAACATGACACATTAAAGCGGCAAATATGAAATTATCTCCTACTATTAGGTATAATTAGTAAATATTTTGTTCATGAGTCATAAGTCTTATTGCTTCCATTAGCAATCAAATATTCAAATGGAAAATGTTATCATCTTATCAATTTTTCGTCCCAACGCGTCCGACCATCAGTGATGCCGACTTCTTGTCGGTATAGAGGTCTTATTCCCGTATAGCCTTTTGGTTTTTTTCCGTTAATTAATTTCACCATTTCTTATGTCGAGTCATTAGTTTAAGCTATTTACGAATTATCGTTGTTTTACACCTTAAATTTGGCCAATGTCCATCACTCATCTGTATTTAGCGTCGGCGTCTACACAATGGCAATATAGATAAAAGATATTTTGTGTGCCGGACATGTCCGCACTGTAATAACACAACAAGCGACGCCTCAGTAAAATCATAATTTCACAATGTTGTTATTTACCAAACGACTCGACTGCTTAGTAGACGAGTCGAAGAGTTTGATATTAATTTTAAATAATAGTGCTCATCCGCCGTGTACGATAATGTCTGTGGATCCCTTCCGTTTCGATAAAAGTAAGTTACGATTACAGTCTCTTCTTTTTTTTTTTTTTTTACTTTTATGTATTATTATTTTTTACCCGAGTAAACTAATAAGGTGATTCAAAATTGACGGTGATGAAATTTAAATACGAATGAGGACATTTTAGAGATATTGAAAGTAGGTAGCTAAATTAAATATTTTACATTGGATCTGCTGGACAAAATTAAGTAGAGTATATTTATCTAAGAGGTAGCATTAAGTTTGTATCTGTAGTAGCAATAATTAATGAGATTAGGGAATAGTTAATACAGGCAGGAGATACAACAGAGAACGAGGTCAAGAAAACAGCAGTAGCGTTTGATCTTATGAAAAGTGAACAAAGAGTAGCCATTATTTATAAAAAGTAGGTGAGTTTTGTTGAAAGTGAGTTAAGATGATATGAATTAGGTAATAACAAATATTGTTAAAATTTTGAGTAATATGCACTGATTGGATAGAAATCTACTAAAAGAAAAGATTTTTATGAGTAAAGAAAAAACCAGAATGCTGCAACAATCATTTTTATACAAATATATGCAATATTTCTTTTCATTATAAATAAATAAAAATTTTAAAATCACAATTACGCCAAATTGATTTGAATCGTTTGTTATTTGACAGATGACATAGTGCTGTGTTACCACAGATCTATGTTATATGAAGCAAAGTGTCTAAAACGACGAATTGGACCTGACGGTGAAGTGAACTACTACATTCATTACATAGGGTGGAAAACGAAATGGGATGAATGGGTTCACGATGATCGTGTTTTGTCTGTAAATGAGTTTTCGCTTGACCACATGAAAGCACTCCAAGACCAACAGTAAATATGTGTTTTAATATTAATATTGTATCGAATGCAATTATTATGTCGTCAATTTTACCAATAATATTAATTTTTTTTTGAGAGAGAGAGCGATTTTTAAATTTTCACATTATTTATAACATGAATCGATCAGTCTAATTAAATAAATACTTTTGTAATATTTTCAGCAAGTTTAAAAAACATTTTAGCAAAGGAAGAGTTGGCAGACGTAAAAAAAATACTGAAGTAAACCAAACCACTGGTGCTCCATCTTCGGCTACTGAAGAGTCTGGTAATTAATTGAAATTAAAAGTTAAAATTTTTTGACCTGAAACGTTCCGGAAAAAAATCCAAATTTTACTAATTTACTTATTTATTTAAATAGAACCATCTTCTAATCCAGTTTTGGTGGCATTCAGAACTGTTGATCTAATAGAAAATAACATTAATAACTTACCTGCCATACAAGAGTTTTTGGTAATATACCTTTTTATAATTAAATTATTATCTTAATAAATATTTTGTTTAACAGAAAATTGTTATTATAATCTTTAGAACATTGTTATGGCTGATAATTGATGTATGTGTTGAACGGATGTACATATACAGCCAAACAGTTATTTATTTTGATTTTGACTTTGTCTGCAACAAAACTATAAATTTTTCTAGCCTCCATACGATAAACAACTAATATTTGATGTGCCTACAATTCTGAAACGACGATTGTCCTACGACTATAATATGATAAACGTTTTTAACAAGGTGTTTTAAACATTTTAATAATATTTGGTCACTTTGTTAATAAATTGTTTGCCTAATAATGGTGTGTAAAATATTTTAGCAATTAAAGTTTCCATCCAAATTCACTGTTATGCATCTCATTGATGGTTATATCGATTCCAAACAGAAATCAACAATATTTGTTAGGTAATTATTGTTTTTCTTACAAAGTTAATAGTATAATAGTGTGGAAAATATAATAAGATATTTTTAGGGAAAGAGCTTTGTGTGTTGGATCGACTTTTATTCAATATTTTAATTCACGAATACAGACGCTGCTATATGCGAAAGAACGTAATAATGAAGTGCACAATAAAGTAAAATATTTTTCGTTGATGAGATTTTATGTAATGAGAATTTTTATTTAATAAATTTACCAATATTTTCCTTTTAGGCTGTTGCTCTGATATTAGAAAAAATAAGACTAGACAATTTACAGTTCAAATATAAAAACATTTATTCGAAAGACTTGTGGTGTACAGTTTATGGACCCATTTATTTACTAAGGCTATTTGGTACGTATGAAATATTGACTTTGATGTTAGCGAAATTATGTTTTATTAATTTTTTATGAACGCGTTCTGGAGCTCATTTAGAAAAAGAACACCTTCCATACACTCAACCATTTTTTTAGGTGTTTTTTCCAAACATTGATAATAATATTTTATATAGCCTTACATAAAGTGCTATCCTAATAAACATAATTTTTTTAGTGACTGAAGACAACCAGCATTCTTCAATAGCTGTAACATAAATTATTTGTTCAGGTAAGAATTCAATTTTCTTTTTTTTTTAGTTTAGCAATCCTCTTAGAATTTTACTATTATATTTATTATGGTTTATATAAAATAATAATTAAATGAACTTGCTGGTTCGTCTAGGGTGATCATTTTTAATAATAAAAAAAAAAACGGAACACAATTTTGTAAAAACTTCTAAAGAAATTATTATTAACAATTATTATTCTAAATAATATTTGGATAATAATTATTATTATTTTAATTTATTAATAAACAAATCGTTTTAATTACTTGTGTTATATTAATAGTTCATTTACTAACTTTCAAGTTTCATTTTTTTTTATACAGTTCAATAAGTACATTTTTTTGTTGTAAAAATGAGTGACAAGAGGATTGCCACTCTTTTAAATTAGAAAATTTCTTTATTTTCTCATAGGAAAAGTTATATTTTTCGCTACCCAAAATTCTGTTTTAATTATTTTTGGGTAATTATGCCCAAGTGAGCAGCCCAACACTGTATACAGCCCATTTGTTTTGATTGAAAACAGTAGTATTACAATCGCTATCATACATGATAATGTTGTTCGATACATTTACAATTGAATTATGATAAATAAATGCAATATACATTCCATAAAAAAGGAATCGGTACTTGCATTTCTTTGCGATGGCCGACAAAAAAAAATAACACTATCAGCGTTAACTGATACGAGTGACCGTTAACAATTGGCTATGGCGACACTGACATCCGGTAGCACATTGTGATTGGTGTTATTTGAGAATACGAACCCCTTCCGGTCCTGCTCATTAGTAATTGTGCGCAATTTTTGTTTGCGCGCGTTTTTTTTAACAATGGGTCGGTAATCTAAAACAAAAATTCCTTTCTCGCTAGTTATTTTAATATTATAATAGTCGTGGTCTCAGCCACAGTCGTTGTGTGTTTTTCTTTAACAACTCATCGTTTCTGGCCAAAAGATTGTGCAAAAACAGACGGTCTAGTGGTACCTCGTAGTAGTCTCGTTAGGTACGGTTACGTTAAAATGTTTTCCGCCGACAGGAAGCAAGTCAAATGGAAATGTTTTTGGCTGATCGTTATGTTTGGCACCGTACAAGGTATGATTTGATCAAACTATAGAATCATAATACAACTGATTGCGATTGGTGTCTTTGCAAAACGGGGGTTCGATATCTGAAAAATAACAATTAAGTAATCGTAGGTAGCATAATAAAATTATACTAACAAATAAAACAATTAAACTTTTAAAAATAATTCAAATTCGTCATAGTTTTGTTTCAACCATATTGTAGTCATATATTTTAATTGTAATTTATGACCAACTTCAATTTAATAATTTTGCTGTTTGTACATTTTAGGTAGTGTCAAATTCGTTATAGAACCCAAGGATATTGTGACAACTGCCGGTGAAACTGTTCGGTTAGACTGTGAAGCAAAATTTGATAGTGTAGCAACTTTGCCAAAAATTAGATGGAGGATTCCCAACCAACCAAACTTGGATTTTATTGGAGACACAAAGAGGTACATGTTCAAAATGTTTATATCAAAATGGTTATTAATACATTTTTAATTTTAGAACTTTGCTGAACAATGGGTCATTACTTATTAAAAACGTTTTTAACGATGAGACAAATCCATCTGACGGTCTAGAAGCATATCAATGTGTAGCATTTGTTGATGATATTGGTTCGGCCGTGAGTCGTATTGCGACTATTATACTTGCTCGTGAGTTTCCACCTGCGTTTAATAATATGTATAGAACTTTTCGTTTTTTAAAAATATTTTTATTATTAACTAATTTTTTTTTAAGGATTATCACCGTTTGAAAAACAGCCGACAAATTTAAGACTTTTTCCGGGTCAAACTGCTTACTTTTCGTGTGTGATCAACTCTCAATCGCCTCAGAAAATAGTTTGGCTTAAAGATCATTCGCTATTAATAATAGATGGTTCTCGGATGACAATTTTTCCATCAAGTACAATTCATTTAAATTAAAGTTAAATAGCGCCTATTTATTTTATTTCATTAACTGTTATTTGGCTTTTTATTGTTTATTTTAAGTAGCATTAGAAATTGTTGATGTACTCAAAGCTGATGCTGGTGAATATCGCTGTAACGTTACTGGATTGGGTAGTTACAGGCTGAGTGATCCTGGTGTTTTGACAATCGATGAGAATGAAGGTAAATTTTATTACTAATAAATGTGTTGATTATTGATGGAAAAACTATTTAATCTTAGAACTTATCAAGAGGCCTAAAGCCCCAGAATTTATTGCCAAACCACATTCGACCATTGCTTTAGAAGGGTCGGTAGTTTCGTTAGATTGTGCAGCTATAGGAAATCCTCGACCCCGAATTTCGTGGCTGAAGGAGGATGGTGCTTTGATTGATGTGGCGTAAGTGCAATATAGAGAAAGCATTTACGACTGGCAACTATGATTATTATAAATTGTGGTCAATATTGTAGTTTCAGATTGTTAGATAGTCGTTACAGCATTATCGGCACAGGAGGTCTACAAATTACTCAAGTCAACAAGAAAGACAACGGAAATTATGTTTGCCGAGCTGAAAATGGTGAAGGTTCTGCTGACGTTCTTGCTACACTTGAAATTCAAGGTTAATCAGTTGGATATTTATTTTACAAAATGCTTATTGAATCCAAAAAATGTTAGTTTTTTTTTTTCTTGTTTCAGTCAAACCACAGTTTATTAAGAAACCCAAAGACACCATGGTCGTCGAAAAAGAAGATATAGTATTGGATTGCGAAGTTGAAGGAAAACCGACTCCACAAATTACATGGTTAAAAAATGGTGATCAAATTAAACCAGGCGAATATCTACAATTTGTTAATGGGTTGGTATTTGCGAAAAAACCAATACAGAACTCGTTAAAAAACAATATTATTACATAATTCTTGTAATAATAACATTGCTGGCATCAAACAAATTGGTTATTACGCTGATTTCTAAAAAATTTAGTTCTGATGTCAAGGAAGCTAGTGGAGGGTACCTCTGGCGGCCAATGGGTTTGGCTCAGACAATAATATAAATTGGATAAACTAAACTTTCATAGTTAACTTACTAACTTTTTATTTATCAAAACCTTTTAATGCAACACAGCTCAACTTATATATAAATTATCATGTTATATTTACCGGATTTTAAAATGTATTTATGTTCGTACTTGTAATAAATATAAATTAAAGTATCTTTTTTTAGCAGACAGAAAAATGACGAATTGCTGTCGTATTTGAAATAAATTAAATATAAAATGTGTTTCACAAAATAATCATTTTTTGCAGTACAAATTTAAAAATATTGAGATTGATGACGGACGATTCTGGAATGTTCCAATGTTTAGCGTCGAATCCAGCTGGCAATATTCAGTCATCGGCGTTTTTAAATGTTTTTCACACAGGTAACTTGATAGTTTTAAAGAAACAATATATTTGATCTGGTTTTTTTTTTTTTATTTAATAATCTTAATGTTGGTAATTAAATTTATTAAAGTTATCATTTTTTTTACTAATTTTAAAAATTGTTTTAGGTACCTACAATTTATTAATATTATGTTCTTATTCGTAACAAACATTTCATAATACCGAAAGCTTTTATAGTTTTTTAATTTATTACTTGTGTAGTAATGTTTCAACATTTTAATTTTTTTTATGGTTCAACTTTCCAAAACAATTATATTTCATTAATTTGTTAAGAATAGTTTTAGTAATAAAAAAATGGTACCTTTGTATAAAAATGTATTATTTGTTTGCATTTGCTGCCTTTTTATATTCTTAACAGTTAATATTATTTTTTCAATGCTATTTACATATTATTTATTTATTTTTTAAGTCTTAATTTTTTTTTCTAAATGAAGTAACTCAATTAACAATAATGAGTAATGTTGAAGAAAAAGTATTCTTATTTGTTTAAAGATCAATTTAATTACTTATTGCATTTTGTGCCTTATTTTAGTTTTAGAGTAAAGCAATTACTTTATTTATAAATATTTTGAATAATTCTGAAAGTGTTGACTAAGGCAGAAATGAACTTACCTGGACCTCCATTAAACGTGACGGCTATGCCAATTTCCTCGTCTTCGATTTTCGTCTCTTGGAACAAATCTGACCAAGGAAACAAATCCTATAATGAACATAAATTGTTCTTTGTTGATGTAAGTTAAAAATGGTACAACCCCTATGTATTTTAATTGTCTTTAAAGTTTAAAATATAAATTACTTTTGTAATAGACTTACACTAATGAAGAAAAGTACAAAATAACCAAACATACCAAGAAATTCAGTCAAGATGGGCTAATAACTGGCTATAAAATACAGTATAGGAAACGAGATGAGAAGGTGTACCGCGATATAACAACAGCTGGGGATATTACTAGTTACCAAATTTCTGGTTTAGAAAAAAGCTCTGTAAGTAAAATATTTAGGCTTTATTAAATTTTATATTTCACAATATGTCTTCGACCTTAACTTGTAGGTAATTTTTTTTATAAGATGGAAGCATAAAAAATAACTTCATTTTGTAGGAATTAGACTGCGGGAACCTTTGTGCGATTTGTGATGATTCATCTTCAGCGCTAACGATAGACTATTAAACTAACCACGTTTTGTATGTTTTCTAAGTCTCTCGATGGTAGCTATCATGTACTTGTACGAATGACTATTAATATTTTTGTGGTTTTACTGTTGTTTTAGGTGTATCAAGTTCGGCTTTGGACTCTTCACACTGTAGGAAAAAGTCCACCCACAGACTGGTTAACGGTTGAAACATACGAAAATACTCTTGGAGAAAACACTGTTCCCGATTCACCGACCAATTTCAAAGGTAAACTAAAAGGGATTAAATTGCTAACTATAGATGGTATAAAATTAAAAACATATATTATACCATTTCGTAGCCAATAATAATATAATATCTAATAATTAAATAAAAAACTAACTTGATTAATGATAAATTTAAAAAAACTTCTTATACTAATCATCAACATGGGCCAGACATGGACAAATTATTGTAACTAAATAAAAAAAAAACAAGTTAATTAAAATAGATTTAGTGTTATAAAATAAATTTGTATTTACTGTATTAGATAATCATTTATTAGTACTACCAACAATATTTCATTAAAATATAGTTTTTGGTGAGGATGAGTATTACTAAAATCATTTTTGTAATATTTGATTTTTAGTTCGAGCGTTTTCCAATTCGTTGCTGGCTACTTGGTCACCTCCCAAAGACAAGGCAATAATGGTCAGAGAGTACACTTTGGGGTGGGGTAAAGGTATCCCGAATGTGTACACAGATAAGTTGAGTCCAAAATCACGGCAGTATGAAATCACTAATCTAGGTAATATGATCAATAGTTTTTTCTCCAAATTTATTACTGTAGTTTGGAATTTCTCGCCATCATTGTTTTTAGAACCGGGTACAAAATATGTTTTGAGCATTGGCGCATGCAACGACATGGGCGTTAGTCCATTGGCTTATCAAGCCGCTACTACAAGAGCCAGTAACATGAACACGTTGGAAACGAATAAACCATTGATTCCGCCAATAGGATTAAAAACTAACATTATTTCTTCGAACGCTATCGAAGTGTCGTGGACTGACAATACTCTACTAGATTTGGATGTAACATATTGTTTTTATTAATATTATTATTATTAAGAATACAACATTCTGAATGTTTATCAATTTTTTTTATTTGCAGATGAATGAAGATGAAAAACGTTTATATGTTGTACGATATAACGTTTACGCCCCAAGCAACGTCGGGTATAAAACGTTCAACACCACAAAACTGTCTTGTATCATTAACAGTTTGAAACCTAACACACAGTACGAGTTTACAGTGAAATTAATTAAGGTGCGGTTTCTGACATAATCTCAAGTATTATTGTAACTTACCCCAACATTAACCGAGTGTTAATGTCTTTAGGGTGAATTGGAGAGTGAGTGGAGCATGCTGGTATCAAACTACACTAAAGAAGCCAAACCAGCATCGCCTCCTAGAGACTTGGCCGCTATTAAAATCGATGATAAACCTCAGTCAATAACCCTAAATTGGCAACCACCAATATTTTCAAATGGAAAAATCATTGGTAGGTATTTTATATTATTGAGTATATATATTATATACTCAGTTATATTATTAACTATTGTAATAATTCACTTAATAATGATTTTTGGAAATTGTTTTTTTTTTTTTTATGTCGTTTTTAGCTTTATTTCTTACTGTATTCCATTGATGAAAGTATCCCAGATCCCAGATTTTTTTTTTTTTTTTTTAATATTTTTTACATTCCTTGCTATGAAAAAATAAGTTTTTATAATAACTTTAAAAAAAAATTGTTTTTTTTTAAACCCTTTATTGTATTTAAAAGCATATGATATGAACACTAGGTAATAAGGTGCACGAGTAAAAATTTACCCCAGTTCTATAATGTAGTTGTGTCACACTAAATTTAAGTGTGACTGAAAGCCGTGCACCTGATGGGGGTTAATATTCTTAAAAAGTTCTTTAAAGAAAACAACTAATATTTAAATTATTTTTATAATTTTTTTAGATGGCAAAAGTGGAATTAATATCACTACTATATTGTATATCTTAATAATTTGCTGTTTGATGCTAATATCTTGTATTGGTGTTGGAATCGCTCTGTTGTGTTGTAAGCAAAACAAACCGCTTAGCAATAGAAGTAAAAAGGAGTAAGTCAATTGTTTAAAGTTATTGGTTTTGCAGTTGATTAAATATATTACATTTTTTTTTTTTTTAAAGGTATATAAAAGGTAAAACTGTAAAAGCGGCTCAATCGCCGAGCATCAAGCCACCAGATCTGTGGATACACCCTGATCAGATGGAACAAATATTGAACGAAAAATCTTCTCAAGGATCGTTAGATTCATGTTCAGGTTGCAGTCAAGGAAGCACCAACACTTATGATGGATTTGACACCCGTGTGACAACACATCACGTGCCACATTCGACTAATTCATTGGACAAGAGTAACGTGGGTAAGTATTCGTTGGTTGGCACACACATAATATAATGTAATGTAATTTAGTATTATTAATTTTAGTTAAACAGATTTTTTTTTTTCATTTCTTTGTTATTATAAATTATTATATACGTTTACTATTTTTCTGCATGTCAATTTCATTTTTTTTTTTCCAAACTCGTTGTTTTGCCTGTTGATGCTTTTGATTATGTTTATAAAGACAGTAAGTTTACATTTCAATTTATTGTTTAGGCGTTACCGTAATTAAATCTTTGGTGCTTAGTCAAAAGAAGGTTACACAATAAGAGTCTAAAACGTCACCTTTTGAGTAATCTTCTTGGTATTTGTGTGTTAATTGGAGGGGGATATAAAATATTGGAATTTTTCCTATTCCAGAGGTATATGCATCAATAAATTAACTTACTCGAAAAATGAATTGTTAATTGAATAAGAAATTTTAGGCAATTTCATGAAATGTTGATATTTTTTATTTAAATAATTTTTGACTTTGCCCTGAAGATAAAAATTATATTATGGAGATGAAAAAATATTTATACCAATTGTGTACATTTAATTTTCAGATATGACCACTTTACCAAGGCAAGAATCTAGCTCGCCATTTCCATTTCAACATGCCACTACCAGAGCACATGTTACCGTAGACTTGACTGCAGGTACAACATATTTTACTATTGATTTTGAAAATGAAAAATGTATTTATTTTTAATAAAACTGTCTTGTTATTTTTTTATAAAAAGGTGCTCCTAAAAATAATTATATTGTCCAAGCTACAACTGTTTTGGAAAAATATGAGTCCATTCCTTTGACATCTACATCTAGTCTTCAGCAGCACATGTAAAGCTTATAATAAAAACATGTATTAATTTTTATAATATTAAATTATAATTTATATAGAGGATCGATGAACACAAAAAGACAGCAAGGCCATCCTTTGAAAAGCTTTAGCGTACCTGCCCCGCTGCCCCAGTCAGTGCCGTCGACACCACAGCAAAAACCCAATGGTAAAGGTCGAACATGTGTTTAATTGAATGATATAAAAAAAAAATTGTACTATAACTTGATAATATATCTATGGCGTTTTCAAAATTGTAGTTACAGTAAGACCTCAAGGATCGTCTGGTCTATACAAAAAACCAATGACCTATTCGATGGTGAACAACTCGCCGACCAATAAGTCAAAACTAGCCAGTGCTCCGAAAGTATCGAAACCACCAACTACCAACGATCAGTCCAATCAACAGAGCGACTTGGGTCCTGAAGTAGAATTCCTTAGCAAAATACAGGTAACTTATATGATGGCAGCTAACTTAGGGCCAAAGTAAGCATTGTTTAAAAATCCATCTGGTGAATACATACTAAAATGAATATTTTCTTTTTCTTGTTAACGTAAAACAATAATATGTGTTAACGATTTAATGTGAAACATTACGATATTGTTATTTCAGACGTCGAACAGTACTGAAGAACTAAATCAAGAAATGGCAAATCTGGGAAGATTGATGAAAGACTTGAACGCGATCACCGCATCCAAATTTCAGTGTTAACAGAATTCCACTTCGCCTTCTTACGTACTACGACCACATTGTTATATTATGGTTGGAAATTATTTATTTATATTTAAACATAATACTGTTTGTATTATAATAATATTATATAATATTTAGTATTTGATAGTGACTATTGCAAAGACTGATCGACCAGAGACTAGGCCGCCAGCTCTAGTATTTGAAAATATTAATTTTTTTATATAATCCATTATAATATTATTATTTCTTTTTTTTTTTTATTCGATTTAAGCTTAATTATTACATTATGTGAAAAATATTTTTACGACAACGGTCCTTTTCTTACGTACTAAAAGTTTGAGTCTTTAAAAAAAAAATAATTATTATTTTAGTATATTTCTGTGTATAAAACTTAAAAACGACAGACTTGTTTCTCCGTTATTTGTATGAGAATTGTATTTTTGTAAACGTGAAGTATGATATTTTCTATTTACTTTTTTAATTGTTTGTTCTACTGAATGAAAAAGATATTTTATCATATTTTGTTTTTTTATATATTTTGTTTGTCTTTTTTTTAAACATGACATTTTTTTAAAATGGTGGCACCACAATATTAAGCATTTTATTGTAAAATAATAACGATAGTATCAAAACAAGTAACAAGACAGTACATTTAACGTTACACATTAAAGATTTATATATATTTTAATAATTTACTTCTGCTTTATTTGTATTTTTATATTTTTGGTAATATTGCTTGACTGAGACATCACAATATTTTTACATTGTTACGCAGAACATTGCGGTTTACTTAAATTATAATATCGAGAACTCGACTATAAACATATTGTTTTTTTTTTTACAAAACTAATAAATAAAAAACGACCTCAAGTAATTTATTATTGATAAAACAGTGTATTTTTTTTTTCTTAGACACAAAATATAAAAAATGAAACACTTCATTTTTATTACAATTGGATATTAATCCGGCTTTTTTTTAATATAACTAAATGACCATTAACAATTTTTCATAATTATGTGATAAACTCTATTGATATTTTTTAACTAAATATGACAAGTAGTACAGTTGATAAATAAATAAATCGAATTGGGATAGTGCAGCTAAACGATATTTTTTCTTATTTCTCATTTTTAAACTTACTTTTACAAATAATAGAAAATAATTTTAGGGAGGTGAAAACTTATCCAACTACTAGCTAGGTTAGTCTAATCACCCGTCGACTACTCCTTTAACCAACATTATATTTCTTTCAATATTCTAATAACCACAGGTGCAACTAAGGGAGGCTAGGAAGAAATGCTTAGCACTTTCACCTTCCAAATTAATACAATCAGATTTGTCATTAAATATATTTTATCCTAATGCTTTAAACTTATCCATATGGCCATGTTGATAAATAAATAAAAAAATATTTTATTTCAAAACGTTTTATATCCATACTTCTTTTCAAAACGATGCAACTGATAGGGCACTTAAACTATTTTATTTCAAAACGAGTGACTGACAATATTGGAAATTTCTTTATAATTAAATTAAATTGAATCATTTTTAAAAAAATATTAAAATGTATTAAACGTTGCAATTTATTACAGCTGTTGATAAAATAATATATAAACAAATAATTGAAAATTTATATTTTATCATTGCTTACACTCATATGATTGTTATTAACCGCCAAAGTTCATGATAAAGCATTTTTACACTGAATTCGGTGATAGTGTAACGGTGATAATACTTAAAAATCCAAATTTTTAATATTATTTGTATATAATTTTTACAAATTGGAGCACCTATTAACCAATATAATAATAAAATGCTTCGCTCTAAAAGAGCAAAAGCAATTATAGAATCAATAAAGGATTCAGTAAGTATCGTATATATTAACTGCCTATAATCTACTAAAATACATTTAATAATAATAAAGTTAGTGTGATCTCATGAAGAAGTATGAATGTTCTATTTCAAATTTGTTATTTGTTATTAAAAGTATAGTATACAAAAAGTAATATTTTACTCGTTGTGGTAAATAATGTTGTTTGTTATAACTTAGTAATACTGAACACAAAATTAATTTTAAATAATAAATAAAGATTTTACATGTAATACACATTAAAAACTAATAACTATAATTTTTTAGTACTTGAGTAATTTTATTAGAAAAATAAAATAAATTAGGTATACAGTAATATTTTTAAAATAGTATAATAAAACTATGGAAATCACTCATTTTGACAATAAGTAATTCTTTTTTGCGAAACGGACTATCATAATTTTTTTTCCAAAACGTACTATGTCTGGAAATAACACGTTTTGTACAAAATCCTATTTTAAAATCATTTAAAAAGTGGTAAAAAAATATTTTTATTTTTATTTCGTACATTTTTGGTATTTAATCATCATCCTGAATCAAATATTCAACATATTATGCTATAACTTATTTAGTTCTTTTAATATAAAAAATCTCTATTCCTGAAAAAAGTGGTTTTTGGTGATAACGCGTTTTGCATAGAAACGCCTCATTTATCAAAAGGATAATCTTTTGAATTAGAAGATTTCCCTTATTTTCCTAGAGAAAAAGTCGTATTTTTCTGTACACAACATTTTGTTTAAAACATTTTTTTTTTTTAAATTCTTTTTTGAATAGCTGTTCGAATAGTTAGCACGGACAGGTGATTTCCCTTTGTACGGTTTGCTACCGTTGGGACAAAGTAGTTCGTTTGTGGATTATTAGAACAGCACAATCCGGCAACGTCGCAGCTTCCTGACAATCGGCAACAGGCCTAGGCAGCTTTTTCATAATCAATACAATTTGACCTGCAGCCTCCAGAGCCGTTGAAGGAATCCAGCTTTGGCGGGGCCGGGCCGGGTGGAGATCGGCAAGCGACAGTGTTCGACGGTTGCCAAAGGCGTGCACACATCGGTTGACTGCGGAACTACTTTGGTAAGCATAATTTTTTTTATTCGTTATATAAGGCTAAGTACGTGACTCAAAGGCCTTTCGTCCGTCGCCCGTTTGTTCTATATAGTCGCGAAAACGGTGGTATTTTTTTCTTTCTATTATTAAAACCGTTTTTTGTTTAATTACAAGCCGACCAAAGTAGTTCCGCAGTCTACATTCAAATATAAATGTATTATGTTTTTTTTTTAGCGCCATTGTTGAGGATAAGGAGGATGTGTTGAACGTGAACGAGAACAAGGCCGTCTTTAAATTAAAAATGAAATATCTAAAAGATACTACACTAAACCGACTCAGCCACAACGGATATGTTATAACAACCAGTTACACAGATAAGCGTATTAAAAAAAAAAAGAGTTTAGCCCAAAGAAAAAAGGGTCGTCTTAGGAGAAGAGAGCAAAAAAAATTGAAAAAATTGAGTGAGAAAATGAACAGAGAAAACAATTGTCCCCACTCCGCACCCGATGATAGACCACCGGTACGTGGCATAAACGATCATGTTGAAAACATGTTGGAAAACGGTAACCACACTCAACCGGGCATTTCTTCGACAGTATCCGGTCAAGCACCGAACGGACGTGACTCGGACTCGGAATCAGAATCAAACGATCTACAGCAGCAGGTTCCAATCTCAACTGTAGACGATAATCCCAAGGAAAAGGATCAAAATGATGGCCCCCCTCCGGAAATGGATCGTGATCAATATTTGGAAATGCAATATTTGGAATATTTGGAATCATTGCAAGCTATCCCGCCGGCGTCCGACGACGGATCCGACAAAGACAAAGACCTCCCGCCAGCAAATACGGACCAGGAGTTTAATGGGGTTTCCTCGACTGTACCGATGGGAGCTGTACAGCCACCGTCGTCTCCGCCGCCGCCGCCGCCGCCGCCCCCGCCGCCGCGGCCGCGGCCAATCCCACGGCGAAAGAAGAAAAAGAAGCGGGTATATGGTTATTGCACGAAAATTGCTTTCCTCCGGCGTAAGCTTATTGACACCGTTTTAGAGTATTCAGACTTGTTGTTTAAGAAAATTCCCATAACCGACCAGCTGGCTTTACTGCTGACGGAAGGCGACTTGCTGTACAACATTTACCAGTGCTGGGACACTCGCGAAGCCTCGGAAGTCCGAGATCTTTTGCGGCAGTTAATCTATAGCCTGAACAACTATCCTGAGAATATTGTGCCCTTTATCGGGTGCCTGACGACCTTGTTCCGTCAGACTTGTCCAACGGTCGGACTAACCCCCACGGAAACGTACGTGCAATTTCAAATATTCTTTGACGCCATCAAAGAATGCGTCCGAGAAGTAAACGTGCAGTTCTACAGGACATGGATGACTTCCGAGAACTTCTTGGTTGCGTGTATCATTATAGACTCCAAGTTAATCCAATACGCGCCCGGTTACACACACATGAGCTGGGATATCAAGTGGAATAAGAAGACGGCGTTCGAGTGGTATATTAATATACCGACGTACAGCCTACCCGAGCCAATAGAGCAGTGCGATGATATCATGGACAAGACCAGCCCTATGACCACGAACAGGTACATTTAGTTGTGATTTTTGTATGATGGGTACTAATTTAGTACATCAGATGGTGATGATTTTTATCTATAAGGTAATACTGTCGGAGAACGCCTTTTTAGTTTTACAGCAAAAGTGTCTTTACTTACAGAGACTAAATATTAGTAAAGGCCCAGTTACTCCTAAAACATGAGGGTAAAAAATGTGTTTAACGATACTCTGCCGACACTAGGAATTGTTGTACTATAAATTCTGTGTAATTAAATAAATTTTGTTTTATTTTTTGAGTATATATTGTAATATATACATACAAAATATATACTCAATGAATCTATCTATAGTAGTCTATCTTAATGACAAAGTTTTCAATCGGTATAGGTACTTTTAACTATTATATGGCATTTTACATTTATTTTTTCCAGGCTATTGTCTGATGATAAATCCGGTCAGTCGGGCAATTCTTCGACTGTATCCGTTCAAGCACCGGACGGACGTGACTCGGACTCGGAATCAGAATCAAACGATCTACAGCAGCAGGTTCCAATCTCAACTGTAGACGATAATCCCAAGGAAAAAGATCAAAATGATGGCCCCCCTCCGGAAATGGATCGTGATCAATATTTGGAAATGCAATATTTGGAATTTTTGGAATCATTGCAAGCTATCCCGCCGGCGTCCGACGACGGAACCGACAAAGACAAAGACCTCCCGCCAGCGAACACGGACCAGGAGTTTAATGGGGTTTCCTCGACTGTACCGATGGTAGCTGTATATACTGATGAATATTTGAAAAACGTTGAATCATTCCAGACTTTCTCGCCGGCCACTAGCACCTCAATCTCTGACTTTTCTGATGACGAATTTGGCGAACAGAGGTCTTGCTGTAGTGCCAGCGAATACCAACCGCCAGCAAATACGAACGTAGAGTTTAACGGGGTTTCCTCGACTGTACAGCCACCGTCGTCTCTGCTGCCGTCAATCCCGCGGCCAACGAAGAAAAAGAAGCGGATATATAATTCTGAATCGAAAGTCCTTTTGCTCCAGCGTAAGCTTAAGGCGGTCATGCGTCAGTATACACACGTGTATGTGGCGAATCCCATAATCGAACAGCTGGCTTTACTGCTGAAGGCCGGCGACATGCTGTACAAAATTTACCAGTGCTGGGACACTCGCCTGGCTACGGATATCCGAGATCATGTGCGGTGGTTAATCTATAGCCTGAACAACTTGCCTGAGAACATTGTGCCTTTCATCGGGTGCCTGATGACCTTGTTCCGGTCGACTTGTCCAACGTCCGGACTGTCCGCCGCGGGTACGTACATACAATTTCAAATATTCATCGACGCCATCGAAGAATGCGTCCGAGCGGTAAACGTGCAGTTCTACAGGACATGGATGACTCCCGAAAGCTTCCTGTTCGCGTGCTGCTTTATAGACCACGAGCTGTTCCGGGACACACCCGACTATACATTCATGAGCGACCAGATCGAGTGGAATAAAGAGACGGCGTTCGAGTGGTATATTGAAATACCGATGTACACCGTACCCAGGCCTATACAGCGGTGCGACGATATCATGTACCAGACCAAACGTATGATCATGAACAATTGTGATTTTTATATGATGGATACTAATTTAGTACTTCCGGTGAGGTTTTTATCTATAAGGTTATACTGCCGGAGAATCGCTAGACGCGTTTTTTAGTTTTAAAATAAAACTGTCTTTACTTACAGAGACTAAATATTAGTAAAGGCCCAGTCACTCCTAAAACACGAGGGTAAAAAATTGTGTCTAACGTTTCTCTGCCGACACTAGGAATTGTTGTACTATAAATTCTGTGTAATTTAATAAATTTTGTTTTAAATTTTAGGGGAACGCAGAGAAGATTTGAAGGAGACTTCTTTATAAAAAAAACAAGAACTATCTTCTGTTGTTATATAACAACAGAAAATAATTAATATTAAAACCATTTATTAGCCAGTAGTAAACTTTTAGTAATATGTAGTAAACTTTATTAGATTTACTGAATAGTTTCTTGAAATTGTATAGGTACTTAATTTATCACCATATATTATATTATTTTAATCGGTATAAAAAAAATTTTTTTTGAATTGTCTTAAAATAAATTAGAAATAAGTAAACTTTAAAAATTAATATCTAAAAAAAACTCTTTCACCTGCCTGAAATGTCTTTAAATTGTAAGAATATTCCATAGTATTCTATACTCTGGCTACTCTGACAAAGTTTTTAATCGGTGTAGCTACTTTTAACTATTATAATATGGCATTTAACATTTATCTTTGTATAAATTTAATTATAAAAAAAAAAAATAAACTTTAATTCATAATTTAAATATTGTATTTGAATTTGTTCACGTCTGGTTTTAGACTCTAATCCTCATTTTAAAATAATTATTAGATAAATAAAGAAAGTTGGTTGGAATTCATTAGTCTTTTAAATATTCGTCGAGTAAATTACTTTTGTACTAGTAATACTTATTATCTAAGTATACCTAAGTATACTTAGATAGATACGAGCTTGATCTAAAGTCTGATAAAATAAAATACAAGGAGTAAATATGCGTTACAAGGAGTATCAGAAAAAATAAATAATGCCATCTCAAATGGAGAAAAACAACTGATCGCAGTTACACAGTAGCACGGTGGAAAACGCCACACAAACTTAATTTGTTGAATCGATTAATTTAAAATGCCAGATGGACATTGCACATTTTATACAATTTTATTTTAACAACAAATGTATTACATTTATCAATAATAGGTTTATTAAAAAAAACAATTTTTATCTACTTGAAAACATAAGATTATTATTATTACTAAATTAACAATTGGTTTTTATCGAGTTAATAAAACAAAATATGTTAATAAATCATCAATCGGCGGTCTGACGTGTAGATGTCTAGTTTGTTGATAAGTCTATTTGCCAGATCAACTTTAAAATTATTAGACGTTCGTTGATGGTAAAATTGTAGCTATTTTTGAAACGCGTATAAAATTTGGTTGGTGCAAAATTGTTATTCGGTCGCCCAAGTCGTGAAAACACAAATTAATTACAATTCATTTTTTTTTTTTTTACAGACCCGTCAAGTTAACCTAACCTAACCGTTGAGATAATAAAAGTTTGATAAAGTGTCCCCTTGAAAAATGAAAAAAAAAAACATCCCATAACAGGAAAGTAAAACTCAATTATACGCTTTAGACTAGGTATACCGAAAAGTAAAAAATAATAAAACTGGTGGAAACGGTACTCATAATATTAATGGCTCTAGTTTAAACTCGTCAGCGTCTATCATGATTATGTATTACCGCCCATACTACAATGCCAAAGCGGTCATTTAGTTTGTAGCACATGTCGATCAAAGTTGGTGATATTCGTAACTTGGCAATGGAAAAAGTTGCTTCTGCAGAGATGTTTCCTTGTAAATACTCATCTTTTGGTTGTCCCGAAGTGTCTTTACTACTTACTGAAAAAGTTCTTCACGAAGAACTTTGTGAACGTCGCCCATGTACTTGTCCATGTCCGGGTGGAAAATTCAAGTGGCAAGGTGGTTTAGAGCAAGTGTTGGAACATCTGATGGTTGCTGCACATAAAGCTATGACAACTATACAAGAAGAGGTTACTGTTTCCGGATTCCTCAGTGTCAAAACTGTCAAGTTTTATGGCCACACCCGTACATATTGTGCACATCTACCCAAGTGTGTAAAATGTGGGGGTACAAAATGTGTATACTTGCACAAAATCAGCAAAACTTCCAGCAAAATGCGCTCGCTGACATTTAGGTTTATATGTTCTACTTATATTATTTTTAGCTTCTTTAATTATGTTTGTTTATTAAAATAATGCAGCGGTTATACGGGTAATTAAAAACTACCTATGTAATGAGTACACAATACAAATAAAGTACAATAATAAGTAGGTATACATTTTTTGCTATATGTAAAGCAAAGTAACCGTTTATTAAAATAATTAATGTGTATTGTATGATAAACTCGTATATTAACAGTCATTACACTTAGACATAAACCAAAAATTGTTAGTTTTGAAATCATATTATTACCTAGGTATCTAAATGATAAAGATTTTTTAACCTTCTGTTTAAGGGGCCTCTACACCAGCATTTATTAAGGAGTATTGTATAGGCAATTTCAAAAAACATTTTGTCACTGTGTTGGTAACTGTTTATTCGTAAATGAACATTAGTGTTAGTGAGCAATTATATGTATATAATATATATACATCATAATTCTCCGTATACGGAGTCACGACCGCGAAAGTGCGATAACAAGATAATAACTTACTATTATTGGAAACACGACAAAAGGTCGCCCGACAAAACGCCGCCGTTAAAAAAATCAACAAAACGTCGCCGGACAAATCGCCGCCGTTAAAAAAAACCGCCTCTCAGTAATGCCAACACTAACAATACTTGTATCATTGATTAAATATACATAGATAGCCCAAGCTGTGTTAAAAGCTAGCCGCTCATAAATGGGAGCCAGAAATTGAGTAGTATGGGAGCCGAACCATAGAGAGCGCTAAATCTGTAGTTCATTCGATCGAAAATGGTGCTCTGACACACGACATACCGGTTCAAAACTGGGCGGCCAATACACTTTTTTTGCAACTTTTTCCTTTATTTTATACAATTTTTATTTACATTATACTTTATTATAATTAAAGTATAACTATTATAATAAAGAAAAAATAGTTTTTTTTGTATAAATTATTATATATTAATATATTTTTTTAATCATGCATAAATTGAAATTGCATTTGAAATACAATATTTAGTATATGTCATGAGTTCTTGTGAATTTGTACGCACATTATTACCAATTTAAATTATATTTCTCAAATTTACATAATTGGTTATTTATATTAATCTACTATTCGCCCTCAATACACCATTGTTGCTGTACGTAATTGGACTACAATATTACTTATTAGGGAATAGTTTAATATTAAAAAAAATACAATTACATAATGCCGTTTGTAAATAAAATAAAAATATCATTTTTCCACCCTTTGAATCTAATTGGTAGGATTTTTTTACACAATATGTTCCCTCTCTTCCTGTACTCTCTTACACCACGGACGTCGGACATCGACGGAGTCGTGACTCGTGTCCAAGTCTTATGATTTTGTTTTTTTTAAATACAATACAATATAATGTAATAAATAATAATAGTACAATAAGTAAATCGATAGCGTCACTAGACATTCTTTTGTGCGTTTTAAGCAAACAATTTTGTTTTTTTTTTTTAGTCATTGATCTACTTTTTTTAAACCTTTATTACCACCACAGTTTGTGTTGAGCGTTTTAAGAGTCGTGAGCTCCTCTAGTAAAATTCTATATTTTATTCGTCTCTTTAATTTTTATATTTTATTGTTTTAAAATGTCTCGTAAATGCGGAATTAGGTGCGAGTATTTTAACTGTGGTAAAAGCGCAAGAGATATTGAAAATCTTAAATTATATCGGTTTCCAAAAGACCAATCATTATGTTCAAAATGGGTTTCTAACTCAGGTATAAAACTAAACATTTTCATAAGCTTAACAATTCCTTTAGTCTCTTTCTTGGATAGGTACCTTATTAGCACCAGGAAGTTGGAAAATTACAAAAAATGCCGAATGGTCATAATTGAGTACATTCAGCGTACGTAGGGTAGTCGGTAGTAATATTGGCTTCCTATTTAATGTAGTGAAGAAAACGGGCATTACCTATTATTATTATTGTCTACTCAATTTCCCGGTGCTATCAGGGTGATTTTTAACCAATATGTCCATGGCTCGTGAGTTATGTAATTTTTTTTATCAATCTTACTAAGTCGTAATTAACTCTACCTTTAAAGCTATTGGGTACCGGCTAATATTAAGGTGTTTTGTACAGACAATACTTAAGAAAAAAGTGGTTTTAATAAATTTTGATCAGGGGCCGATTGAACTTAAATGGGTAGTTTTTAACGGAAAAATTAGTCGGTACCCAATAGCCTTAAGCGAAAAAGATAAAAAATGTGGTATAAGTAACCCGGGGAAATATTCTAGATTGTAATAATGAAAATAATCTTATCGGATGACTGGTTCGGCCTGTACAATTGACAAAAGATGATGTATTTTGACTAAAAAAACGGTCGGTATCCAATCCCATATAGGGCCATTCTGCGACATTTTTACGCTTCGATGCGGAGAAGGTATTGTTTTTTAAAATATGTTTTTATTTTTTTTTTGTTTTGTGTCTGTTCTATCTTTAAGTCACTGAATAAATTTCATTATTGGACCAAAAATTTAAAAAGTTCTTTCTAAAAAATCTTTTCCCCTTCAAAATGGAGAAAAACGCCAACAAAACTACGTATTTTTCAACTTAAAATTACGACGCTCCATAACTTTTTTAAAAATAGTCCAATTAGTTTATTAAACATATTTAATAATAATAAATAATGGTTTTATGAGAAATTTAATATTAAAATTTATCATTTTTTGTATCACAATATATGTAGCTCTTTAAACTATATCAGAAAATGGAGTACAGTTTTTTTCGTGAAAATGGACTTATTCCCTTTTACCCGCGCACTGTCCATATTTAATATGGCATATTAACTATATAAATGAGATTTTAATTGCATTAAATGACGAGCCGTGGACTTATGTTATTTACCTAACCATACATATTTTCTTTTTTCCTCTAAATTATACTTCTATTTGTTTTAAACACATTTTAAAAGTTATCTAAATTTTTTTAGGGAACATAGGTTTAATACATCTAACTTCTGACGATCTTAATAAAAAACGATTATGTATTTTGCATTTTACCGATGACGATTTTACAAATCCAACAACGAAAAACTTAAAAAAAAATGCTGTACCTAAAAAG